AGGTAATGTGCAGGGTAGTCAGGTTCATTAACGCATACATGAATTCCTCTCCGTCCTTTCGTTGTAAATCACTCCCCTGTCCTGCTGCCCTTTTTTAGATTTTAAGCTGCAGAAGGTAGGGCTTGCCCGTAATTGAGTTTTGTGGAGGGCTTAGCATGCTCTATTTGTTTTGTCTAGGCATTCTGAAATTTTTTTTTTTTTCAGGTTGTAGGGGAGGAAAGGTTTTTCTAATTTTTTTTGTCGAGTTAAATTACCTGAAACTAAATATACTTAATCCGGTCTCCAGGATGCAGGCTTGGTCCCGCACCCATCTCTTCTTGTCCATTCTAAATCCTTCCATGTCTCCCTGGCTGTTAAAATACTGTCTTGTGAAAAAAAACCCAAAGTCATTCAAAAATTAAGGCAATGCACACACAACCACAACAACAAAAAAAGCGGCTTCACTGAGTTACAATGCACCCACCATGCAGTTGAGCCCTTTAAAGCAGTGGTTCTCAACCTTCTGGCCCTTTAAATACAGTTCCTCATGTTGTGACCCAACCATAAAATTATTTTCGTTGCTACTTCATAACTGTAATGTTGCTACTGTTATGAATCGTAATGTAAATATCTGATATGCAGGATGGTCTTAGGCGACCCCTGTGAAAGGGTCGTTCGACCTCCAAAGGGGTCGCGACCCACAGGTTGAGAACCGCTGCTTTAATGTGTTCAATGCAGTGTTTCACAGGTACGTACACATCACCACAGTGACTTTTGAAGCATCATCGCCTCAAAAAGAACACACACACACACACACACACACACACATCTGTTTTGGCTATTCCTTCCTCTCTGTCCCCATCCCTTTCACCAGCCCCCAGCAGCCACCACTCTACTTTCTGTCTGTAGGTTTCCTATTCTGGACATTTTATATGAATGAAATGAGATGATATGTAGCCTTTTGTAGTTGGCTTCTTTCACTTAGTGTAATGTCCTCAAGGCTCATTCATGTTGTAGCATGTATCAGTGCTTTGTTCCTTCCTTATTTATTTTATTTTTATTTATTTTGGAGAGGGAGGGAAAGGGAGATAGAAGCATCAGTGATGATGAGAGTGAAACATTGATCGGCTGCTTCCTGCATGCCCCCTACCAGCGATCAAGCCCAGAACCCGGGCATGTGCCCTGACCGGGAATTAAACCAGTGATTTTTGGTGCATGGGACGACGCCCAACCAGCTGAGCCACACCGGCCAGGACTGTTTTTTGTGTGTTTTTTAAATTACTGGGTAACATTTCATGATGTACATTATATCAAATATAGTCAGTTTCCAGTTGTGCTGTTGCCGGTAAGGAGGATCCTGCGGCATAGTCAGACCATGTTCATCCCCTGCTCCAAGCCCTTACCTCGAACAGTGGCCATGGAGGCTGAGCCTTGTCCACCGTCAGCCGGTCCTCCCACCTCCCTGTTCACTCTCAGACTGACTGCTGAACAGGCCAGGTTCTTTTCCTGGGTCTTAGCGCTTGTTGGAGCTGTGTTCTCTGTGGGGAATGGCCCATCTGCTCAAGCACTGAATAGTACTTGTAAGAGCTCAGACTCTGGGTCGGACTTGGGTTTTTTCCTCTCCTTAGTATTTTCCTCTCCTATATTCTCAAGGAAGTTCATTCTAATCTTTATTATGTTTTGTATTAGGCTTTCTACTATCTAAGTAGTGATGTTTGGTGCTCCCATCACCACCCTAAATTCAGGGTCCTTGGAAACAAAAGTCTGCCCCTCTGAGGTTGTGCGGTGTATAGAGGCAAGGGGTTATGGGAAATCCAAAACTGTAAAAAAAAATAATAAGTCTAAAAAACCCCACTGTGGAGCCCTGACGGGAGGCTCAGTTGGTGGGAGCATGGTCCCATACACCAGAAAGGTTGCAAGTTCGATCCCCAGTCAGTGCACATACCTGAGTTGCAGGTTAGGTCAACCAACTGATGTGTCTCTCTCTCTCTCTCTCTCTCTCTCTCTCTCTCTCTCTCTCTCTCTCTTTCCTTCTCTCCCTTTCTCTCTCCCCCGCCCTCTATCTTTTTTCTCCTCCCTCCCTCTCTTCCCCTCCTCTCTCCCTTCCTCCCTCCCTTCCTCTCTCTCTCTCTTCTCCCTCCCTCTCTCCCATTCTCTCTCTCTAAAAATCAATAAACATATCCTTAGGTGAGGATTTATAAAGCTATGAAGACAGTAAAACGATTAGTGGCTAGTAGCGGTGGAGAGTAGAGATGATTGGGCAGAGCATGGAGTTTTTAGGGCAGTGAAACCACCCTGAATGAAACTCTAACGGTGGCTCTATGTCATGTTACAGTCGCCCAAACCTAGAATGTAATGTAAACTATGGACTTAGGTGATAACAATGTAGGTTTATCAGTTACACGACAAATGTACCATTCTGGTGGGGGGTGTTGATTAAAGAAAAAAAAAATCTAGCCTCCACCTTTTCTTTAATCCCTGCGCCCCCCCCCCCCTGCCACCCCACCCCGCATAAATCATGGACCTTTGCATGCAGAGGTGTTTATTAATTTAGTATTCAGTAAATGGATTAAGACCAGACTCCTGTGACTATAATTGCCCTGGTTTATGGCTGTTACTTCCAAAATTCACCCTAATTATCGCCATCAAAACTTCACTGTTAGTACCTGCAGGCGGTCTTTGTGGGAGCTAGCTCAGCTCTGGACAGGGGTTTACCGCCAAGACTGGGGAGCACTCTGAAATTTTAAAGGGCACCGTGCCTTGAAGTTTGTGGCTTGTCCCGTCTCCAGCTGGGTCATCTTTGAACACTAAATTCACCAGAAAAGAAAGTGGGAACTGCAGAGAGAACCACCAGTGGAAATACAGGTGTAGCCCCCTCAGGATGGCAGCGTGGGTTGCCCCTGGTGACAATCTGCCTGCAGATCCCCCTTCCTCTGGTTCCCTTTCTGTGAAAGGGCAGAAACAATCGCAGTGGGTGCCTGGGAGGAGTGGCCACTCTTGGTGGCTCTCTCCCTCCCTGCAGCCCCTCCCTGGACCATATGAAATCCTACAACCACACCACACTAATTAGCCCGAGAATGGAAGGGGTTGTCATGGCAACCGAGCACTTTTTAAAGCACAGGAATGGTGTTCATTATTGTTCAGTGTCTCTTTAGCTGTGGCGAAAAGGTCAGTGTGGCAGTTGTTTTCCATATGAATTTTGGCCCCAGAGCCAAGCAGAGTGGAATGTTCCTCGGAGACACTGGAAGATGGTAAGTGCAGCTGCACTTTTTGGATGGGGCATCCCTTCAGCGATACATTTTAGAATGTTTTGATAACTAGGAATCTAACTAAGGAATCGTGTGGACTTTGTTAAGAGATTGGAAGAAAAGAAGCAAAGGGAAACGGTATGGGTCAGGAATGGTGAAAGCTTGAAGGAGATTCTTTATTTGGAAAGTTTTGGAGCATCAAATGATTACATGCTAAATAAGGAGGTTTCTCTGGTTATGACTTTAACAAAGTTGACTAAGTCTGATGCTTTATTCGGGGATTGTTTTATATTAGCGCTATACTAGTCTTTGCTGCTGGTCAGAGTATATTACCAAATAAATGTAGCAAGCATTTTAATTTTAACCACATATCTTCAGGGCAGCTGCCTCTCTCCGTTGTTAACTCAAATATTAAGGAAGAACAGTGACCAAGGGTCATTTTGTTTTCTTACTTTTATGTTTTTCCATTTTTCTAAGGATATCTGAAATAATCAAGACTAGAAACCTCTGAGGCACAATTCTTGGGATGTTTGCCCTAACTTGTTGGCTTTCCCCAGGGAGAATACTGCTGAGTTAAGACAATTTGACCAGTGTTTGCAGAAGAAATTAAGTATAAGTCAGCCTCCTGGAGAGGATGACAGCTATTCCATCAAAAGCTGGAAGGGCGATTGGCAAAGTATTCTTTAAGTTTATGTGTTGCTAGTTTGGAACGTGTACAGAATTACATGGCTTTCAGCCTAATTTTGTGTTAATGACGGACGACGTTTCTGTGGTTCGCAAATTTGAGCCACTTGCCATATTTTGCACTTTTAATCAATGTACTTCTAGCCCATGGCACTATTTTTCAGCCATTTTATACACAGTTGTGTAGGATAACAAACTTCAGATTAATGAAAGGGGATGCATATTGGAATTAAAAAACAAATCACTGCCCACAGAGCTGTGCATGGGAAGTGGCCTACTTTTGGGCTTTACTCTGAAAGACTTATTGTCCTGTGAGTAATGGCCAGTTTGTTTGGCAACTGAATGGATAAGAGAATACATTTCAGAATGTTAAGTCTTGGTTTGATTTCCTCTGTCTTTAATTTGCATGTTCAGGGATTCGTTGTTTAGTCATCATGGTATGGAGCTCTCCATAAATGGGGTATTTGACTGGAAATTGAGAAAATTAAAATTCTCCTTTTTTGTCTCTTTTCTCCGCCTCATTCCTTCCCTCCTCCTCACTGGGTCACTGCATTTATTACCTAAAAATGTCTTTAAATGCTTTGAAATTGAAGTTTAAAAAGTAAGTAAAGTGATATTTGTATGACATTTTGGATTCTTTGGAAAACATAGAATTAAATATGGTGGTACATTTATGATATTTGTAAAACAATCAGCAATTGAAATATGGTTATTAATATCAAGGAATCATTGGTATCTTTTAAGGTATGATAATGTTGTTGTGACATGAGAAAATGATAATGATATGTTTACAACTGAGGCAGTGTGATATCTGGGCCTTACTTCAAAAAAAAATCCAAGGGTAGGAGTTAAGTGGGCTCCCGGATGGGCAGGATTGCCAGGGGGTGATGGTTGTTGAAGCAAAGAGATGGGTACCTGGCGGTGGGATTCACTCTCAGGTTTTGTTTGTTGTTTGTTTGTTTGTTTTTGGTGTAGGTTCAGTGTGTGTGGGTGTGTGTGTGTGTGTGTGTGTGGGTAGGTGGGTATGGGTGTGCATCACAGTGGTGGGGTGGCCTTGTTAACTTTATCTCTCACCTTCCGCATGTTTAGATGCCAGACCAGTTTGACCAGGCAGTTGTGCTAAACCAGCTGCGATACTCTGGGATGCTGGAGACGGTGAGGATCCGCAAGGCTGGATATGCCGTCCGGAGACCCTTTCAGGATTTTTACAAGAGGCAAGACGGAGCGGAATAAATCCACTTTCTTTTCAAAGGGATTGGGAAGAGAGGGAGTGGCAGTAAAAGGTGACGCAGGCCCCTTCGGCCCCTTTACGTTGCAGGTATAAAGTGCTGATGCAGAACGTGGCTGTGCCTGAGGACATCCGAGGAAAGTGCACAGTCTTGCTGCAGCTCTATGACTCCTCCCACAGCGAGTGGCAGCTGGGGAAGACCAAGGTAAAGCCACAGAGAAGGAATGTGCCCCGCCCCCCCCACCACCACCACCACCGCCCCAGCCCCAAGCTCCATGTCCTATGGTCCTGCTGGCCTCTTGTGTGTTTTTTTTTTGCGTTGGAAAAATATGGTTGGGATCATGCCCAACTTAATCTTTTGTCTTCCAAACAGTATTTATTGGAAGTCCTTGACTTTTCAGGGATTCTGTTTTTCTTAGGGCACACCTTGAAAACACTTGGTCCCCAAGTGTTTCTGTGCTTGTTTTCTCTCAGGCAGCCAGCAAACCTTTGCTGCTGGGCAACTCGGTGCCTGGGATGTGCTAGGCAGTCTCATGTCTGAGAAGATGTCTGCCTTCTTGCTAGGTTCTCGCATGGGGGGGGGGGGGGGAGATAGCAGAGTGAGCTCTGGTCTCTCTTTTGTTTTCCCAATTGAATTTATTGGGGTGACAGCTATAATAATGAAAGTGTAATATGCTAATTAGACTGGACAGCCGAACGACCTTCTGGACAAAGCCGGGGCTGCGAGGGCCGAGCCCCTTGCATGAATTTCGTGCATTGGGCCTCCAGTTGGTTAATAAAATTATACAGGTTTCAGTATACAGTTCTACAATACATCATCTGTATATTGTATTGTGTGTTTACCACCCTAAATCAAGTCTCCTTCCATCACCATTTATCTCCCTTTTCCCTTCTTCTACCTCCCCCCACCTCCCTTCTCTTTGTTTTCTTATAAAGGCACTAATCCATCATGTGGCCTCACCCTCCTGACCTTATCACAACTTAATTACTTCTTCAAAGTCCTACCTCCAAATACCATCACTTTGAGCCTTAGGGCTTCAGCATAAGATGCTGGTAGGGACACCAACATCCAGTCCATCATAACATTGACCAATGTGGGAGCAATAACAGGTATTTGGACATCACCTCAGGGCCACTCAGCAAGGGAAAGTATATAATGGACATTCTCTTCTGCTCTTGAGTTATTTTGACTGGCCAGGGATTTAAGGTCCAAGCATCTAGTAAGGTAGAGCTGGTGTGCAGAGGTATTTATTAGTGACCTATTTCTGAGTAACAAACGGCTACAAACGTTAATTATCTCAGTACCTGTGGACCAGAGGTCCAGGCATGGCTACTGCAGGCTCCCCTCAGGGTCTCCAGGCCGCAGTCAGAATTCCTTCCAGGGCTGCCTTTGCCTCTGGAGCTCGGTCGTCTCTCAAGCGTGCGTGGTGCCAGATTCCACTTCTTTGCAGGTGGGGGAGTGAGGTTCCCATTTGCTTTCTGGCTGTCACCTGCAGCTGCCCTCTGCTTCTAGACACCCCCCCTCCCCAAGTTCTTGACCACATGGCCCCTTCTCCAACCTTCCCACAGCATGGCAGTTTCCTAAGATGGAGTCTTATATAATGTGACATGTTCACAAAAGTGACTTCCCATCACCTTTGCCATATTCTGTGGGCTAGAGGAAGTCACAGGTTCCACCCACACTGCTCAGAGCAAACAAAGTAACTCATTAAGTGTCACCTTGTGTGTCCTCACAGGTTTATGGGTCTCTCTACCTAGAATTCTGCTCCCCCTCCTACTTCATCCAACTCATCCTTCAGTTACCGACTGAGATGTAGATTTTGACAGGAATCCGTTCTGACATTCTTCGGGTACCCCATCCCAAAAGCTCACCCCACAACTGGGTTGAGCCCCTCCTCTGTCATCTCACCTCATCCCATTTTGGGCCCAGTTGTAATATCCTGTCATTGCCTGTGGATTTCTCTACAGTTCCCCAGTGGAGAATGTGGAGTTACTTGTTTGTTCTACACACTGCACATAGTTGGAGCTCAATCGGTGGCACAAGGATGCCACGCGTTTAATCACACAAGGAAGGCTTCTAAAGAAGGTGGCACAGGGGCAGCTCTTGGCAGTATAATGTAGTCTGCTTTGATTTCTTTCTTTTTTTTAACCAGAAAGATATTCTATTCTCTATAAACTGATGTCCTCCTCCCATCTCACTGTTTGATATAGTGTAGTAGCATCAAAGATCACAGTGACTCGGCCAGCCAGTAAGAGTCCCTGCTGAGCTCTGAGGATTCAGTGTAGCTTCACTTACAACTTTCCTTATGGGAGCCCAGCCCAAGCCAGGCTTGGGAGCCGGCATAGCACAGGGGACACAGAGACATAAAGACATGGGCATGGCCCTCCGTTTACTGTGTTGCTGGGGGAGAAGACATCCACATACAACTGAAGAGTCATCCTTTAAGGAATGAGAACACAGGTTCTCCAGGAGAGAACTCCCCGTGGGCTGACATGATCAGGGAAGTAGTCAAAAAGAGGAGTCTTTAAAGAAGACTTAAGTTGCGATTGGTAAAACACTGGAAGAAGAAGTAGGATGGAAGCTTATCAATTCACAGAAAGTTAGGAGGTAAATGGAAACAGAGCATGCGAATAGTGTACACTAAGTAGCTTTGGCCTTAACCGACCACCATTTGACTTAATTATACCATTAGCGTGTGTCGGTCAGTATTGCTGCCAGAATGTCTTTGCATTTAAAGCCTTGAACCTCTGATGAGCATCTGGATTTTCTGGTAATTTCTGCAATTATAGGAAGAAGACTGTACAAAAAACTACTTAGGAGCATTACTTGTGGTGGTTTTACACATGCTGGGGGGCCCAGGGCAGGAGTAGGTAAGGCCGTGGGTCACAGGTGGTCGGATTCTTTCGTTCCTTTTTTGGCCCAATGTCTGGGAGCAGGCAGAGCAGAGTCTGGGAAAATGTGCCATCAAGAGGACATAATACATCATGATAGACCAGGATCAACCACAGGAGCGTAAATTAAAAAATCATGAGTGAGAGAGGCTGTCATTCAGCTCCCTCCCCCAACCAAAATGCCCTCATGCTGACCAGTCATAGGAAAGCATAAAAACATTTGGCACTAGTTTTTGGTTTTTTTATAGGGAACTTCTTATTCGTGTATTAAATCTGAAATTGCATAATTAAAAGGTTGATTGAGGGATTTTTTTTTTCAAAAATATTTTTTCAAAAGTTATTAACGTTGAGAAACAGCCGTGCGAAAAAGAGGCCCTCTGATCCCTCCCCCACGCTCCCCCTGAAAGCAGGCCGTGACTCTCCCATGTGAGAGGTTCCGCCCTGTACAAGGAGGAGGAAGGCATCCTTATCACCAGAGGCGGGAGTCAAGGCTGGGGAGGCTGCGGGAAGAAACTAGTTCCTTCGTTAGTTTGTTGCTCCAAACACAAACGCCTTTGCTTTGTCTAATCGTCACGAGTAATTGTCTCTGTGCCTAAAACTGGCATTTGAGCTGCCTGCTCTGGTCACTTCGGGGCCCATTTCTGTGAGACCGCCATGTGGACGTCATTATATTTGTTTTTCCTCCTGTTAATCTGCCTTGAGTCAGTTTAATTGTTAGATCAACCAAAAGAACTAAGAAGGGCAGGGAGGAAAACTTTCCCTCCTTGACTATATGAATACTGAATCATGATGTCCACCTGAAACTAATTTAATGTTATGTGTTAGTTTATTCTTCTGTAAAAAAAGTAACAAGGCCCTTCCCCACGGGGAGTGGAGAAGCACGGGGCTGGAAAGCGTGGCTGTGTGTGCTCAGGGCAAAGTTAACTCGAGGGGAGAAAAAGCCTAACACTCCCTGCCGGCCCTCCCTCCCCCTTCCCCCCCAAATATCTCTGACTCAGAGATGCCTGCCTTCTACCAGCCACCTGCCTTGGATCTGACATGTCACTCCCTCCTGGACAGGTCTTCCTTCGAGAGTCCTTGGAGCAGAAACTGGAGAGGCTGCGGGAGGAGGAAGTTACCCGGGCGGCCATGGTGATCCGGGCCCACGTCTTGGGCTACTTGGCACGGTAAGAGGCATCAGTGGGGAGAAGGTGTTAAGCTCCATTCGACCTTCCCAATATAATCCATCAGGTGGGATAGGCTGGTCGAGTGCTTTTCCTTAAAGGGGACCTGGATGGAAGGTTAGGATGGGGTGAAGGAGAGCCCCAGGTCAGCGCTCCTGTCTCGCAATGCCAGGTGCCTATTTAGCTTGCCCTTGGCAGAGAGTAGGAAAGGGGCCCCCTAACGTCTCGATTAGAGCACTGGGATTAGGGGACCGTGCTGAGATGCTTAAATTGCTTCCCAGGTTCATCTTCCTGGCATACGGAAGCCAGAGGCAGGCTGGCTGTTAACTTTGGTATTTTGGCTGTTGATACTGGTGTCTCGTTGGGTCCACAGAGGCCCACCTTCAGTGTTTACCAAAGAAGGCAGCATCTCTTCGTGTGCGGTTGAGTTCTGCCCACCTCTGTGGACCAGCCTGCCACCTGTGACCTCACACTGTTACGTGTTCTGCAGTCCGAAGCTGTCCTGCTGTGGCGAGTTTTTTGTTGTTGTTTTCCCCCCTTCTTCAGAACAGGGGGATATATCTTTAAAAATCTCTTTTGGTCCTGTTTACAACCCAACTTCCTGCCAGAACTTTTCAAAGTCAGCATTAGGGATTATGTGTTTATTTTCAGCCAAGATCATGATAGGGTTCTGGCTTTACTTTTGTTTGTTATTATTCTTTTGTTTTTCTTCTGCCTTGGTTTTGCCCAAAGGGGCCTCCTGTTCGAGACAGACTCTATAATGAGAGCATCTTCCCAAATGAGGTCCTGTTCTTTTGTCTTGTGGCACCAACGGAAACTCACTCGAAGGGCTCGAAGCCTCATTGCCTCCACAGTTATTCTGTTGTGCTGTTTTTGTTTTCATTTTCAGAAAGCAATACAGGAAGGTCCTTTCTTGTGTGGTGATGATCCAGAAGAATTACAGAGCATTCCTGCTGAGGAGGCGATTTCTGCACCTGCGAAGGGCAGCCATCGTTTTCCAGAAGCAGGTCCGAGGTCAGATGGCCCGGCGGGTGTACAGACAGCTGCTGGCGGAGAAGCGGGAGGCGGAAGCAAAGAGGAGACGGGAAGAAGAGGAGAAGAGGAGGCGGGAGCAAGAGGAAAGGTATGTTGCCTTTGGGTGACACAGAAGGACACCTGTTGAGTTGGAGGCTCGGTACCCATCCTCACCCAGGAGTTCCCCATGGATACTGCCAAAACCTGCTGGTGGAAACAGTAGCTTCTGGTGGCTCAGATGGAAAATTTCTTGGCAGCATTGAGAAGCTGGTTCGGTGTGTGTTTTATTTCATGCACAGAATAAATATATTGCGAAAGAAAGAGGCCCTATCCATCATGCTTTCTAAGTTGTCTCAGCAAAGCTTTTTAAAGAAAATTAGCTGTCTTTAACAGGTGGTTCTGGGATTTTTTTTTTTTTTTCATCATGTTTGTTTATTTTCACTGTCTTTTCTTTGCTGTTTTTAGAGAAAGAGAGAGGGCACGAAGAGAAGCTGAGCTCCACGCCCAACAGGTGACAAATGCAGTGACAATGTGGCATCTCATCCGTCGGTTTCCTTCCCACTTCCAACACTTTGACTCAGAGTGTCTTCCTACAGAGATGTAGGAAGAACATTGGGAGAGATGTCTATGGTGCAATTTCTAATCCAGTACAGTTGGGTGAAAATTAGTGCATGTTTAAGATTTTAGTGTGAATCATGACAGCATAACGTCTCTAAACCAATGTCTGCGTTAGTGTGCTCGGGCCATAATGAAGTTACCATAGCCCCGGTGGGTTAAACAATAGAAATTGATTTTCTCACCATTCGAGGTCTAGAAGTCTAAGATGAAGATGTCGGAGGTTTGGTTTCTTCTGAGGCCTGTCTCCTTAGCTGGCAGGTGGCTACCTCCTTGCCGTGTTATCACATGGTCTTGCATCTGTGCCTGCGTTCCTGGTGTCCCTCTGTGTCCAATCTCCTCTTACAGGGACACCAGTCAGGTTGGATTAGGGCCCCACCTCACAACCTCCTTCTAACTCAATTGCCTCTTTAAAGGCTCGGTCTCCAAATACAGACACCTTCCGAGCTCCTGAGGGTTAGTTAAGGCTTCCACATGTCAACTTGTGGGTGGTGATCACCATGTTAGCCCAAAACAGCATGTGGTGGTTTGTTACTGCAGAGGAGGAGCGATGCTTGTCCTCTTGTTGCTGACACCTAACGCCTCCTTCCCCTCCAGGAGGCAGCGAAACGGAAGCGGGAGGAGCTGGAAGCCTTACAGAAGAGCCAGAGGGAAGCTGAACTCCGCCGGGAGCTGGAGAAGCAGAAGGAAAACAAGCAGGTGGAAGAGATCCTCCGCCTGGAGAAGGAAATCGAGGACCTGCAGCGCATGAAGGAGCGGCAGGAGCTGTCCCTGACCGAGGCCTCCCTGCAGAAGCTGCAGCAGCTGCGCGACCAGGAGCTCAAGAGGCTGGAGGACGAGGCCTGCCGCGCCGCCCAGGAGTTCCTGGAGTCGCTCAACTTCGACGAGATCGACGAGTGCGTCCGCAACATCGAGCGCTCGCTGTCGGTGGGCAGTGAGTTTTCTGGGGAGCTGGGCGACCTCGCCGAGAGTGCGAGTGGGGAGAAGCCCACCTTCAACTTCAGCCAGCCCTACCCGGAGGAGGAGGTGGACGAGGGCTTCGAGGCCGAGGACGATGCCTTCAAGGACTCGCCCAACCCCAGCGAGCACGGCCACTCGGACCAGCGAACAAGTGGCATCCGGACCAGCGACGAGTCCTCAGAGGAGGACCCCTACATGAATGAGACGGTGGTGCCCACCAGCCCCAGTGCCGACAGCACCGTGCTCCTGGCCCCCTCGGAGCAGAGCTCCTCCAGCGGGGAGCCCACCTACTGCCTGCCCCAGAACGCGGGGGGCCTCCCCTCCCCGGAGGGCGACTACGACTACGACCAGGACGACTATGAGGACGGCGCCGTCACCTCCAGCAGCAGCGTGACCTTCTCCAACTCCTACAGCAGCCAGTGGTCCCCAGACTACCGGTGCTCTGTGGGGACCTACAACAGCTCCGGGGCCTACCGCTTTAGCTCCGAAGGGGCGCAGTCCTCGGTGAGTACCCTCTCCCCTGGGGGCCCCGGCTGCCCCCCACGGAGATAGGAGCTGTCCTGAGCCACACCCCTGCTGCTCCATCCCTTGGACCATGCCAGGATTTCAGAGTCAGGCTCTTAAAGCCGATCTCAAACCACTTTCTCTTCCCCAAAGCAATCGGATTAGTAAATGGAACTTGGATGTGTCTGTTGTAGATCAAACACAAAGCCCAGCACTGCATTTTGCCCAAAGCCTAAGGAGACTTTGGCTGTGTCTGTCACTGCTTTGCAGCCAGTTGGGAACCGAGACCTGCCCTGATTGGAACCAGAAGAGCCAAGGGTATTTTGGAGAACTCTCCTCACAGTAGCTTCACAGTTCCCACCTCAAGATGTCCTAGCTTGTTCTGGTTAGAAGGGAGGAATCTTTCAGGGCTAAACATGCCCTTTCCAGAGTCTACATTTATTTTATCACTTATTTTTAACCCCACCCTACCCCTACCCCCTTGTTGGCCATGCATTGAATACTGCCTTGACTTTCTAAGACTTGATATTTTTAGCTTGGTAATTTAAAGGGAGTTAACTCTCGCATGGTTTGATGAAAATGAGGCCTTTCCACAGCAGTGTTGTTTTTCGAGTAGATGGCTTTTGGGTTAAAGTATGCCTAGCATTTTCTGTATCTGTGCAAGGGGCCACGTGAATGTTTTGGTGACCATGCCACTGTAACGTTATGAACCGTGTGTCGCTTCTTTGTCGGTGGTTTTTATTTTTCTCAATGCGGGTAGATGCTGGGCCCATTTGTGCCTGCTCTCTGGTTTTCTTGCTCACTATTGCTTTCTCCTTCTTGTCCAGTTTGAAGACAGTGAAGAGGACTTTGACTCGAGGTTCGACACGGACGATGAACTTTCCTACCGGCGGGACTCTGTGTACAGCTGTGTCACGCTGCCTTACTTCCACAGCTTTCTGTACATGAAAGGTATGAGCTGCAGCCACCAGGGCCATGGGTCTGGGTGGAGCGATGGAATGTTGAGGTTGTGTTTTCACTGAGGCTGATTGAGGCGGTTGGAAATATCACCCTACCTACCCCTCACCTGGTATCAGGTTCCCTAGCTGCGTGGAGGATGCCGTGGTGGTGTGACATGGGTGGCACGGTAACACCAGGGAGAACGTTGCCTCGACTCCCCTCCGTTGGTGCAGTGTCAGGACAGAGTTGACAGCCATGTTACCAGTGATGAGAGTTACGGTTGGACATTGTGATTGCTGTTGAACTTGGGATGTACTGCACTGCACCTTACTCCTTGGGGACCTTGGGCCACGCTCCTTTTGGAAATTACATACATCTCTGGAAATGACCTTGTACTCGTGCCTGATGCACCATCCACTCTGACCTCCGATTGAGTGACCAAGGTCATGAGAAACCATAATTGTCACCAGGTTTTGATAGGAGTTTCACATGGATCGTTAGAAAAGGGGGCCGTCATGTTTCTCGCATGGCCCTGGACTGGATGAGGGGGAAGAGTCCAAATCTCGGGGATCGGGCAGGGGAGACAGGAACCATGGTCCTCAGATGATGTCCTTCACTTTGTGGCCCTTTCTTTTCTCCCATTTTCTGTTTCCCCAGGATCCAGTTTTTTGTTTTCTCTGCCCCATTTCTTCACTTTCTTTCTATGACCATCTTTATTCACTTTTCCTTTTCTTTTTCACTCCATGAAAAACTTGATTCTGTTTTCCTTTTCTCTGTTTCTTCTGTTCTTTGCCTGTGCTTCTCTCTTCTATCGGCATCCCCCCAGCCCCATGCCCCCATATCTCTTTTGTCCTCAATATTTTTTTCTATTACGTTTTTCTTTTATTTGGTTTTACCCCCCTACTTCTGCACCCCTTCTTCAAAACTGGTCTGGCTACTAACATCAGTCCTGCTATTCTCAGCCTCCAATCCCCAAGGTGCGCATGGAAACCACCAGGTTTGTTTTAGGGGGATCTGCCTATTGCTTGAAGTCACTGGTTGGTGAACATTTTTATAGGAGCCTTAGGATGACAAAGATTGAGAAAGTCTAGCCAGGTGACCTAGTTAGCATTGGATCACTCGATAAAGAACAACAGGTAATCAAAAATCAGGACCTAATAATCCAATAACTATATAACCATAGCTATTAAGATTTTTCTCATCCATCTCTCAGAATAAATATAAGCTTTTTATTATTAATGTATTTCCCTCTCCCAATTAATTGTAGTTCCTAAGTTAGCTTTAAGATTTACTATATCAGTATAGCACTCTTATTTATAATACTAGTGACCCAGTGCGTGAAATTTGTGCACGGAGGGGAGGAGGTTTCCTCAGCCCAGCCTGCACCGTCTCCAATCGGGGACCTCTTGGGGGATGTCCGACTGCTGGCAGTCAGACATCCCTCTCACTACCTGGGACTGCTGGCTCCTAACCGCTCACCTGCCTGCCTGCTTGATCGTCCCTAACTGTCTCTGCCTGCCTGCCTGATCGCCCCTAACTGCCCTCCCCTGCTGGCCTGATCTCGCACCCAACCGCCCTCCCCTGCCTGCCTGATCACCCCTAACTGCCCTCCCTTGCCAGCCTGATCTCGCCCCCACCTGCCCTCCCCTGCAGGCCTGATCTCACCCTCAACTGCCCTCCTCTGCCAGCCAATTTGGTTCTGATTTATTGGTTTCTATGCCAATCAGCATCAAAAGCTCCGCCTCCTAGGTAGCCATTGGCTCCTCACACTTCACCCAGATTTGGTTCTGATTGGTAGGTTTCTATGCCAGTCAGCGTCTCTGGGCCTATAGCAGGGCCTGATCAGAAAGGCGAAGCTGATCAGCAGCCCTGGTGGAGGCCTGGAGAGAAATGGAGGCACGGCTGCTGGCCCAGCCCAGAGAGAGAGAGGCAAGTGCTGATCAATAGCTGCGGATCAGACCCTGCTTCTCTCTTCAGGCCTCTCTCTGGGCCTAATTCACAGCTCCCTCAGCAGTCAGTGTTGGGTCACCGCGCCTGCAGCCACAGCAGTCAGTGCTGGGTCGCCACGGCAACCCAGCGCTGACTGCCGGACTAACTTCCGGTTGGTTGAGCCTCCGGTTATGACAGACTCAGGGTTTTTATATATTAGGATGTGGCATTGACTTAATACATAGTTTTCTGATTAAGACAGATGACATTAGGAAAAAGTAAACATGCATTCAGAGCATTACATTTCAACATTAAAGCATTAAAAAGCTCAAGAAGGTAAACAAGTGAATTTTTGGCAAACTCATCTCTTAAAAAAAGTTATTGTGTAAATGCATCATTAAATCTAAATAAAGCTGTGGTCAGAAAAAATCAAGAGAAACCATCCTATATAATAAAAGCCCAGTGACCAAAATGGCGGAACGGCCAGAGACCAGAATGACCACATTCTTCACCCTGGCTGGCCCTGTCCCCCAGCGAGCAGTTAGGGGCAATCAGGCAGGCAGGCAGAGGCGGTTAGGAGCGATCAGGCAGGCAGGTGAGTGTTAGGGGTGATCAGGCAGGTATGCATAGTGGTTAGGGGTAACCAGGCAGGCTGGTGAGTGGTTAGGGATGATCAGGCAGGCAAGCCGAGTGGTTAGGGGCGATCAGGCAGGCAAGTAGTTAGGAACCAGTGGTCCCGGATTGCAAGAGGAATGTCCAACTGCCAGTTTAGGCTCGATCCCCAGGGATCTCTGTGGGATTGGGCCTAAACCAGCAGTCGGACATCCCCCGAAAGGTCCTGGATTGAGAGGGTGCAGGCCAGGCTGAGGGACCCCCTTTTCCACCTCCTGTGCACAAATTTTGTGGACTGGGCCTCTCTAGTTAATAAAGAAAATAGAGAAAATCTAACCACCAGCCTATTCATCTACCAAAAGTGTTTGCAGTTGGACATTAATAGCATTGCATCAAATTCTCTAAATGAAGGATTGTTGAGAGAGCATCCAGAACTGCAGTGGAAGGACTGGGAACAAGTCCTATTAACAGCATAAGACAGTGATGGTGAACCTATGACACGCGTGTCAGAGGTGACACACGAACTCATTTTTTTGGTTGATTTTTCTTTGTTAAATGGCATTTAAATATATAAAATAAAATATAAGTCTTTGTTTTACCATGGTTGCAAATATCAAAAAATTTCTATATGTGACACGGCACCAGAGTTAAGTTAGGGTTTTTCAAAATGCTGACACGCCGAGCTCAAAAGGTTCACCATCACTGGCATAAAAGCAACAGAGTGAATACACTAGCAGTGGGGGCTATGGTGATAACTGATCTAATCTGTCTTTGAAACAACTGTGAATAACCTTTATCATTTAAAGACAATAAGATAATAGAATAACTTTGTATTATGGTTTCCTCTGGACTTGTTTGAGAAACCCAGATTAAAGTCACAAATCAAAAAGAAAAGAAAGTCTTGGTAGTCTTTGGCAAGTTTGCTGTTTGTTAGGAAATGGCTCTGGAGCTTGGCATGACCACAAAGACTTCTCAGCCAGGTGAGCAAGCAGTGCTCGAGATACTAGAAAAGGCAGCAATTTGTATTGCTCAACGAAGCAGGTGCTGTCTGCACACCAGACAAAGGAAGGCAGTGTTGTCATTGCCTTATCTGTTCTAATGTGAGATTTAGATCTATAATCATTGAAGAAATTAATCTGAGGTCCTTTATTTAAATTTATTCCTAATATGTAAAAGAAAAATACCTTCTTTATACTTTTAATATCCATGTTTAAATGTCTCTTACTTTTCATTACTGGCTAGTTAAAAAAAGATGTGGAGATTTTATAATAAACTATTGAAGTAGATTATGTTTGTCAGTGGATACATTAAAACAGATTTTTAAAATATATATTTTTATTGATTTCAGAGAGAAGGGAGAGAGAGAGAGAGAAAGAAACATCAATGATAATAGAGAATCATTGATTGGCTGCCTTCTGCATATCCCCCTCCCCACCCCCCCAATACTGGGGATCAAGCCCGCAACCCAGGCATATGCCCTTGGCCAGAATCGAACCTGGGACCTTTCAGTCCACAGACCGACACTCTGTCCACTGAGCCAAACCAGCTAGGGCTAAAATAGATTTTTGAATGATGGCAGTAAGAGTGTCCTTGAAAAGTCTAGACTACTAAGATAAAATTGTCCTGCTAGAAAGGTATTAGAAATATTTTTTATCTTATCAAAGATGACATCTGTATATCTTTGTTTCCTTGTATAATTTTGCTCAACCAAAAAAAAAAACAGTGTCCCACTAAATAAGTTATAGCTAACCTCATTTTTTTAGGTCTAATTACAGTTCACTTTGGAGTCTTACTTTATTTCATATTCTAAATCGTATACTTTATACATGTCGTTGTCAGATGTTGCTGCTTTTTTCTTTAAGATGTGTTTATCCAAAAAAGTATATTTTATTTTCCTATGTAAGTTAGAGTTTATTGCTAAACTAGCTAAGCTACAAAATCACTGACAAGTCATGTTATGTTGACCAAACAGGAAGGAATGTATAAACTTTGAAACCATTTTAAACTAATTTCCCCTCTGGGGCATTTGAAGGTAAACATACAGAAGTGGTTCTCGTCCCATGGCCCTGACTCATTGCAGGGTTAGATGTCAGTCAGCATAAGAAGGGGAAACATTCTTGTATCACCCAGCCAAGCTAGTGTAATATCAAGCCAGCACCCCCTGAACAAGCCAGCACCCCTGAACAAGCCAGCAGTGCCACCATCCTTCATTGAGGGGTGTCTGAGGGCAGGTCACGTGTGGCAAAATAAAGGACAGGCCGAACCTTAAGACCAGCTGATATTGTCATCCAATTTGATTGGCTTTTCTTAAACCCCTCCCTACCCGATCTTGGGGGGAACAGGTGGCCTAATGAACTCCTGGAAACGCCGCTGGTGCGTCCTGAAGGACGAGACCTTCCTGTGGTTCCGCTCCAAGCAGGAGGCCCTCAAGCAAGGCTGGCTCCACAAGAAAGGCGGCGGCTCCTCCACGCTGTCCAGGAGGAACTGGAAGAGGCGCTGGTTCGTCCTCCGCCAGTCCAAGCTGATGTACTTTGAAAACGACAGCGAGGAGAAACTCAAGGGCACCGTGGAAATCCGGACGGCAAAGTAGGTTGATGAGCCTTGGATGTGGCCCAGTGGGTGGTGCTTTGGGGCGGCTGGATCATCTGTGCTGTTGCCTACAAAGCCAGCCGGTGCGAGTTCGCCGAGGCAGGGGGCTGTAGTAGGGGTCGAGTGCATCCCAACCATTCACTTCAGTGGCGTGCTTGATGAGGAAACGAGGGGAAGGACTTCATCCGTGAACATTCAAACATTTGGCTCTCGTTTATAAGATGCCGGTTGGACATGTAACTAGTCCACTGGAGCTATGATTGGTTGTTTGCAGGGATCATGGTTGAACGATTGGCTGAGAATCTCTTTATCATCCTTTTATTGGTCAACATACCACTTTCAATTCTCGTACACTCCCAGCTGTGCCAACAGATTGCTGAATTGGGAGCCGACTGCCAATCTGGAGGTGTTTTTTGTTTTTGGGTTTTTTTTTGTCCTGTGTTGTTTTTAAAGATATGGTTGACATATCAGTTATATAGCATTATATCAGTTTCAGGTACACAACCTAGAGATTTGGTATTTGTATATATTGCAAAATGATTATCAGCCCATAGTTATATATTTTTTTCATATGATAAGAACTTTTAAAAGATCTACTTTCTTAACAGCTTTCAAAATATGCAATATGTGTTATTGACGATAGTCACCATGCTGTACATTGCATTCCTTCAGCTTATTTATAACAGAGTTTTTACTTTTGACCATCCTCACCCATTTTTTTGTACTTGCTGATGACCTTCCCCACATGAGGTGGTTTTTGAAATGAAGCATTTGTCTTCTACCCATGGTGGCTATATACCATCTTCTTTCTCAGCAATGAGCGAAGCAGAGGTGGTCTTTGAACCCAAGAAGACCCCTTTCTCTGTCACCCTCTTGGTGCAAAGCATTTGAGCGCCTATTATTTTTGTTAAAAATTAAGTAAGGTTTTTCAGCCCTAGCCGGTTTGGCTCAGTGGAAAGAGCATTGGCCTATGGACCGAAGGGTCTCAGGTTCCATTCCTGTCAAGGGCACTTACCTCGGTTGCAGGCTCAATCCTTGGCCCTAGTCAGGACGTGTGCAGGAGGCGACCATTCGATGTCTCTCTCGCATCAGTGTTTCTCTCTCTGTCTCTCCCATCCCTTCCACTCTCTCTAAAAATAAATGGAAAAATATCCTCGAGGTGAGGATTTAACAACAATAAATACATAAATACATACATACTTACATACATACATACAGTGTTTCCAAATCCCCTTTGTAAAAAAAAGTAAGATTTTCAGAAAATGTTGGAGTTATGGGCAGCTAGAAACTGGATGCTAAGCATAAAACTTGTTTAGCATAACCTGTGGCCATACCCCACTTGAGCAACCTCATGTATTTAGAAAACTGGTAATATAAGCTTAGAGAGATCAAATGAACTCCTGAAGTCATGAGTCCTGAAAATAATCATCCAGCCTGATCAGCTTTAGAAAGTGATTCATGAAAAAGTGGAAAGTTAAACAAGAAGAGGAAAGTGTTTGGGGTATTTACAGACAGATAATGAAATGCAGACGGCCGAGGGCTGCCTTTGGGCTACGTTCATTGTAGGAGCCCATGCTCTGTTTGAACCTGAGTCCCCCAAGCAGTTTTCACAGATGGCACAGCTCTTTGCCCCATGAGTCTTCCCTCAGCCCTGTAGGCCATGGTGTTCCTCTTTATTCACCCCGTCGGAGGGGGGCCCACTGATGCCAGGAAGCTGCGAGAAGCATGTGGGTCGTGGTCTTGGGTTTTACACTTTGTATGTTAGGTTGTATGTTCCTTTCTCACCTCACTCTGCTGCTTACTAAGCCCTGTTCCTCAGGTATTTGTAAAAGTTTCAGACTTGAGGAAAGGTTAGCTCTTAGCCATTTCTGTCACAGTCTCTAGAGCAGTAGTTCTCAACCTGTGGGTCGCGACCCCTATGGCAGTCGAATGACCCTTTCAGCCGGTGCCAGTTCTTTATCCTCAGGGGTCACCTAAGACCATCCTGCATATCAGATATTTACATTACGATTCATAACAGTAGCAACATTACAGTTATGAAGTAGCAACAAAAATAATTTTATGGTTGGGTCACAACATGAGGAACTTAATTTAAAGCCCAGAAGGTTGAGAACCACTGCGCTAGAGAAAGAGCATGGATTGTTAGGGTTTCACCACATTAGGATTCTTTATTAAGATTAAGATTTTTTATTTCCTATTTTGAAATGTTTTATTATAGAAAACTCCAGTCACATGCCAGAAGAAGAATATAATGAAATCCATGCACTCATTGCCCAGCTGTTAGCAGTTACCCACCATGGCCATAGTGTTTCATTCATAACCCCACCCCACACTGCTCCCCTTACAAACTGCATTCTGTAAAACAGGTTCCCGACATCCTGTCATGTCCTCTGTAAATATTTTAGTATACACTTGAAGATTAAGGCTTTTTTTAATATATAATCATGATCTTATTGTAACATTTAAAAATAACATTCACTCCTTATCATCTAAATTTGAATCATTGTTCGGATTTCCCCGGTCTTCTTATAAATGAAGTGTTCTTGATGGTTTGGGTTGGTTTATTTCTTCATATTAGAATCCCAGTAAGGCTTATAATTTTCAGACAGATCTCTCAAGTCCATTACTGTATAAATTCCTCCTCCATCTTCCTTTCCCTTACTACCTATTATTGAGGATGCTGCCTCATTTATCCTGTAGTTTCCAGACCACATTTCTTGTTGACCGTGGTCTTGATAACGTCATCTTACCCCATCTCCAAAGGCAAGCCCAGGGTCCCACCCGCAGAGGGCTCCCGCCTGTGTTTTCTGATGTTTCCCAGGACTTAGGACCACGGCCTTGTAGCCAGGCCAGTCTTACCCCCTCAGTCGAGGTTGCAACTGAGTTCCTGGGAGGCAAAGTGGCTAATCCAGGACGGCCTGGTCGGGACAGCTTTGCCCGGGGATTATCCTCCTGCTCCAGGCTCCTGGCTGGTCCCTCCCCACTGCTCACTCTCACCTGCCACTTGGAAGAGGCATCCCAGACCGCGCTGTAAAGACTCATCTTCTTGTTTAATATTTTATCTCATCTCAGTGATTCTGTCTATAAGGTTATACATTTATTTTTTTCTATCCAGTCTGACTGTTTAGTTTTGTAGATGTAAAATAAATGTTGTACTGTGAATAGTTGTACTATTCCAGTTATCAAAGCAAGCTGGCTTTATCCCCAAGATCCCTCTTCAAATATTGCCCTCCCTGGGCCAGTCCTTTCTCTGCTGGTGTTTTGTCCGAATGTTGTTAGCCCCGTCCACCGACTTGAAACCTCTAGGGCTGTTTAGGGAGTGTTGGGATGACACCTCAATCCTGCTCTTGGCCCCAAAGTCCCCCATTTAAACAATGAGGCTGTGTCAGGTTGAGTACAGCAGAGGTGTCAGCCAAGGCCTCGAACCACAGTGTCATTTGGAAGCTGTGATGAACTGGGAAAGAACTCTGGCCAGCCCAGCCCCTTATTGGGGTCCTTCCATTGAAGAACTGTGAGAGGAACCACAGGAAGGGAAGGCCCGAGTGAGGCTGCTGCCCCAGCCATCTGGGGCCTGAGCAGGGCCAGGCCTTGTGAGGCCAGTGTGAGAAGAGAGGGGCCCCTCCCTAGAGAAGACTAGGAAGCTTGTACCCCTGACCAGGCCAGCAGTTCTTCTGCCCCTCTCTGCAGAAGAGAGGAGTCTGGCTCCCCCTAGAGGCCACATGAGGCTTAAATAGGTGTCCAACTCAGTCATCAGTTCGGTGAAATTGCTTTTCTCACTAATTGCTAAGAATTCTGTGTTCCTGACTTGCTATTGGCACTTTTCCCCCCTGCAGAGAGATCATCGATAACACCAGCAAAGAGAACGGGATTGATATCATTATGGCCGATAGGACCTTCCACCTGATCGCCGAGTCCCCTGAAGATGCCAGGTAAGGCGGGCGCTGTGGCATCCACCTCACTGTAACTACCTCCTCACTCCTGCGCAGACCTGGGCGTCACCCAGATCACTGCTTACCCACTGGTTCTGAAAAGATCTCATTGATTTCTCAGTGGCGTCTTTCTGTTAGGATGGGTGAAGGACTGTTGAGTCATAAGATACTGCTGTGCTTGTCCCCTGGGGAATTCTTCACTGAGCAGACCTGTCCACGTACAACACCCCGTCAGGATTCCCAGCTTCGAGTGCCACCTGCCAGACCCCTGTCGTCCCAGCTCAGGTGTTTAGTGTCACCAGCAGCCTGTGTAACCCGCAGCTACCCCAGCTGAGAGCCTGCCCTACCGGAGCTTCTGAGCTCTGAACGGGAACAGCTGGTGTTTGCTGAAGGATTGAAGAGGCAGGAGCATCAACCACCGGCTCTTTAGACGGATGAGAGTGCAGTGACATTTGGAAGGTGTTTAGTCTTGCTATGGAAGAATTCAGTAAGGTAGAAGAGACAGTTAACACGTAGAGAATTTACTGTACAGTGGGGCCTTACGAGTTTAATTCGTTCCGTGACGGAGCTCGTAACTCAAATTACTCATGTCAAATCAAGAAGTGAACGAGTGAGACACGTGATGCTGGGCTGATGTTGTGGCGTTCACTGTGACGTTCGCTACGCCAACTAGCGGTGGGGTATCTGAAGCTGGCTCGTAACCTGAATTTTAGCTCGCAACTCAAAGCAAAAAATCGTCCGAGAGACGGCTCGTATCTCGAAAAACTTGTTAGTCGGGACACTCGTAAGTCAAGGCCCCAGTGTATTTCAGGCCGTATTCTAAAGTCTGTAGGGTGATGCTGGCGATCTCTGTCCTCCACTCTGAGCAATGCCAGAGAAGACCTTCCAGTTTATGAGGGTGACATCCTTCAGCCGACATTCTTCCCTTTCCAGCTCACAAATCACCAGCTCTGCCCTTTGAACGCTTCTGTGTTGACACAACACCATGGTGAAAGGCATGAAGGGCAAAGAAAATACTAGTAGTTCTTCCCCCGGGGACAACCTGAAACCCTGCCGAGATCCACAGATTAGGACACAAACTGAAAAAACAAGCAAACCTGGGGTTGTAGCCCATCATTCTGTCTGGGATGCATCGTGACCACGCGTGGGGGGATTTTTTGTTTTTTTGTTTTTTGTTTGTAGTCCAAGGAATGCCCACAGCTTTCAGCTGGATTACAGGCTCAGCACTTGGCAGCTGCCCGGTCTGTTTTGTGCCATGATGAACCTGCTAAATTTAACATTTGGAATATTTTAGCCAAGGACTTTTTCCCCTGACCAGTGGAACGCTTTTTTTAAAGTTTCTTTCAGAGCCCAAGTTACTCTGTACTGATTGAAAACTCGGCAGATTTTGTTTCTTTGATGTGTGCGTGTGCGTGCGTGCGTGCGTGCGAGTGAGAGAGAGAGAGAGAGAGAGAGAGAGAGAGATCCCTGTGGCCTCCATCTTGCATGTATGTGTTTTTAGTGTGTAATTTGGGATATTTTTGAGCTTCCACATAAAATGATGACTGCAGTCTTGCCTCTGGGTTAACCAGAGTCAGTGAAGCAAATTGATGTTGGAAGTTTCTATGTCTCCCTGTGTATGTTGAGTCTGTGTATGTTGAGTATTTTCAAGTGCATGGTCACATTTTTCTTCTGCAGGAATCCCAGGTGATGGATTTTAGTGCTTTTCTATAAATAATTCACATGGCTTGTCTTTACATAGAGGTGCTACTGTTTTACTTAAATATCCGTGTGTGCTGCCTTATTTAGTAGGAGTATGTATGTATGTATGTATGTCTTTTTTCTTTTTTCAGTTACAGTTTACATTTAATATTACTTTGTCTTACTTTCGGGTGTACAGCATACTGGTTAGACAGACATGTACTTTACAGAGGGTCCCCCGATATTTCCAGTACTATTCGCCCCCCACAGGAGGAGGGCATCCTAGCGTCTCTCCTGTTTGGTCCCGCTCACATTTTGTAGCTTAATAAATGTTGGATAGATGGACAGACAGAGGGATAGTCATGGTCGTTTTCCTTAAGCATGTATTGAATTTCTAGTTACATCATAACCTTTGTTCTGCTTGACTTTCCTGGGGTTGGCATGTTTTCCTTTATTATCTGATTCTGGTGGAAACAAGACAACTCTTCCAAAATGAAGACAGGAGAGTTCTCTGATCAAAATAAATGTCCATTTTCAACTTCAAGCAACGTTTTCTATTTCCAGCTCTCCTGTGGTTTTCTCCACGTTAGTAGAAACCGTCCGGTGGTTGGAAACCCCGTCCTGGGGGTGCGGAGGGAAACTGGACTTCAAGTGCCCATTCTGAGAAGGCCCTACATTACTGGCCTTCTCACCTTGCAGTTTACTTTTCAAAAATGACAAAGCACTTGAATATTCCCCGGCTTTAAATAATCTCTTCAATCAGGATTTTTCACGGAGTGTTCTGGGTAGAGCAGAGGGTTTCACGTTTCCTGCCAATTTCTCTAGGAACTCATGGTCGTTGTTAAATGTCTGTAAAGGTCTGTGGGACTTGGAGGGAAGCCCTTCCAATGATTTGAAATTGCAACAGCTGGGACTGGCGAGTACTTTGGCTCCTTCTCTTAACTTTGCTCCTTGGTGGTGGGAAACCCTATTTGCCCCGACGTGTAAGCAAGTTAACAGCACCGTTGGTCGGAGGCCCGGTCGTTTTCCTCCATGTATCAGGGCATTGCTGTGTGCAAATCCAGAGGTTGGCCACTGCTGACAGCCGCTCTCTCCTTCCCACAGCCAGTGGTTCAGCGTGCTGAGTCAGGTCCACGCGTCCACGGACCAGGAGATTCGGGAGATGCACGATGAGCAGGCAAACCCCCAGAATGCCGTGGTGAGTGAGCATCCGTGGGGTGGAGGTGATGCCCCGAGGGAGGTGAGGGAGCTGGGAATTTCTGGACAATCTTTATTTTTAAAGGAACAGTATAGTAATTAAAGATTAAAATAGGAATATTCTGGCTAAAAAAATCATACATAAGAACAAATAAATTATACATTAGAAGTAGTAACAAGCCATTAAAAGAACAACAACAACATAAATCCCAATTTTTACCAAATTCTGGGAGCACATTACACTTTTCTTACCAGTACTTACTGGATTTTGAATGGCATTTTGTCTTCGTCTGTCCCAGACACATATACAGAACCATAGAAATCTTATTTTAGAAATAGTCTTTTCATAAGAAAAACTTAACATCAAAGTTTCTTAGCAGAATAAATGTAAAATTTAGTGACAGATCTTAGTCTAAATTAGAACACTTGTATTATCGAAAGAAGTTCGTAGACACTCCTCACTGAAGGCACTTTAAGAAAAAGACAGAAAGATTAATTTATAATTTTTCTAATGAGTGACCTGTAGCATCTGCCCTGCCTGGAAGCTGTCTGTACTCACTAAATACCTTCCTTAGGTAACTATCATGTTGAAGTTTACACAAAAAGGAGCCTTTTGCTGGCCTGCTTGGAGGGTTGTGACCTGGGGGTCTTAAGGTAAAGAGCTCTGTACCTGAATGGTTCTCTCACGCTCTCTACTTTCTGCTCCATCTGTTCCAGGGCACGCTGGACGTGGGGCTCATCGATTCCGTGTGCGCCTCCGACAGCCCCGACAGGTGAGCTCAGAAGTGACTTTTAACACAAGTAATTGGTTACCTGCATGCGCTCACATCTCTCTCTGCTTTTCTGGGCCACCTTCCTCTGTATGGGGCTGTGAGAATGCTCTAAGCCGCATGTTCCCACCAGGTCAACCTCAGCAATCCAGTCTTCGTTCCTGGTACCCAGTTTTACATCATCTGAAAGTTTTCCTCTTCGTGTCTCTTTGGGAGTGCTGGGGGAGATAGTGAAAACCTAATGTAGACAGTCCATTAAAACAATAAAAAACACATGTAGGAGAAATAGTCTTTATTTGGAAACAGCACAAATTCAGGATCATACAGGAGGAAAATGCCTGTGCAGGAAAACAGTGTTTTAGCACAGTATTCCAGAAAGGGTGTAGCTCCCCTAAACTTAATAATTAATTCAAAAGATTTTTTTAAATATTTTTATTGATTTCAGAGAGGAAGGGAGAGGGAGAGAGAGATAGAAACATCAATTCTGAGAATAATTTGATCAGCTGCCTCCTGCACGCTCCCCACTGGGGATCGAGCTCACAGCCCAGGCATATGCCTTGACCAAAATCTAACTCTGGACTCTTCAGTCCACAGGCTGATGCTCTATCCACTGAGCCACATCAACTAGGCCTGAATTCAAAAGATTTTGATTGGCATTTATATGTAGAGTATTAATAAATTAAACCATATGCATTTCTTTTCCTTGACATTTTTACCTTATCTGCGCCTTCAGAGTAGCATGCTGTTGGTTTTGGTTTTTGAAGGCATATCATCTTCGGAGATGGTCTCAGAAGTCCTTGTCCCAGTGACCTCTGCCTTTATCATCTCTGGTTTTCTTTGCTGTTTGTGAATTCTGAGTAAGAATCAAATCAGCTCCTACCTTCAGCAACAGCTTTAGAAAGCGAAATGTATTCAAATTGACAACAAAACTAGTGTCCACTAGGCAGCATTTGAGTTTTGGAGCACCCATCGCCCTGTTGACGAAGGCTCTCCTGGACCATAGGTCCTTGTTTTGGCTCCACCCTGCGCCTTCCCACACCTGGCTCAGGAACCTGCCACACGTGTGTCAGGCCAGTCAATACCCAGAGGCCACATTCTTACTCTGATGGTGGCATTCCTGCCTCAGCAGTGTCTGTCTGCTCCCAGCCCTTTCACTCCCTCAGGCTGGGCCTGTGAACCATGCTTAGAACTTCCGTCTCTGCTCCGGCTTTCTCCTCCTCCGCTGCCCACCTTTCTCCCTTCCCAACTATAGACAAATCTTTGTTGCTGAGGAGCACCTGTCTTTTTCTGCCTACTGTACTCTTGTTAATCTTCCTCCCTTTTCCTTGAACTTCCGCTGCCACTTAACTACAGTGAACTTGCAAGACAGGCAGTCACTAGCTGACACGGTTAGATAGAGGAATTGGTATGAGCAAGGACCTGTGAGAGGCTCCAGGCGCTGAGGGGAAAAAAGGAAATTTCCATTATTATGTTACCCCTGACTGGGAAATGAGCCCTTGTTAGATTGCTTTGAAAACGGGGGCCCAGTGGCTTTTTGTACCCGGCATAATGAAGTGTATCAGATATTCCGTTTATGCCTTTCTACTGATCTTCTTCTAGTACTGGTGTCTGACATTTCATTACCGACCCACGGAAATATTATCCAGGGCAGGACCCAGAGGCAGGAAGAAATTTACTTTGGAGAGGCATCAAAACAAAATTTTCCCCCACGGTCACCTTAGGTAGCCTTCCTGGAACCCAGTTGCATCTGGAAAGTTTTGCATGAAGACATGTGTTCCCTTCCAGGGCCCTCAGAATGTGTCGCTCCCAGTGAAAAGGTTAACGATGCATAAAGTAAATCCTGCGGAAATGAGCAAGGCTTGCCGTCCTTACCGTAAAATACAAATAGCGCGGCCGTTTCTATCCCCATTGGCCCATAAGTCCGGAGAAAGGCATTCAGTCCTGGTTCACTCAGAGGTGATGCTCACTGTCAAGCTAAGAGGCTTTGCTCCCTTCTCATCCTGTCGCTCAGGCCCAACTCATTTGTGATCATCACGGCCAACCGGGTCCTGCACTGCAACGCCGACACGCCGGAGGAGATGCACCATTGGATCACGCTGCTGCAGCGGTCCAAGGGCGACACCCGGGTGGAGGGCCAGGAATTCATCGTCAGAGGTGACTGCCAGCGACGCGTTCCTTTTTCCCGGACTCCTGCTTTCACGTGCATGGATGTCTGCAGTATTTCCATTTGAGCAGCTTTTCCCAGTCATTTACTGGCTAAAAATAAGACAGAAACGATCATGGTCATTCCTAACAAATCATCTGTAAGCATCATGCAGATGATACCTGGTATTTGGCATTTCTCTTCCTAGCTCTTGATTTACACTCTCCTCTTGCTCTCCAGGGTGGTTGCACAAAGAAGTCAAGAACAGCCCAAAGATGTCTTCGCTGAAGCTGAAGAAGCGGTGGTTTGTGCTCACCCACAACTCCTTGGATTACTACAAGAGCTCGGAGAAGAATGCTCTGAAGCTGGGCACCCTGGTCCTCAACAGCCTCTGCTCAGTCGTCCCCCCGGACGAGAAGGTTTTCAAAGAGACAGGTAACTGGGGCCGTGTGCTCACAGCGAGCGGGGCCCAAAACAGCCGCATCAACTCCTCAGAGTTCTGGGTCTGCTCGGAGCAAAGGAATAAGATTCCTACCAAGAGCATGTGCTTCCCCCCCAAAACAAAAAAAGAAGCTCTTTTCTGGCTGACTTATCTTCCGAGGCTGTCTGTGCTTAGCTATGTGAACAGTTAGTATTTAAACCATCGTAAAGAGGTCTTGATTGATGGAGTTGCAGAAAGAGTCTTCTAAGGACAGTAGCATGTTAAGCCCATGAAGACTGTCCTACAGGAAGCTTTATTTTTATTTGCTTGAGTTTCGTTGTTTTTATCATTGTGCCACGAGAGTCAACGCAATTCTGCCAGTGAGTGTAACTCAAATAAAATAGAGGGTAGGCTTAGTTTTTTTCTTTTCAGTATTATACAAAATAGCTCTAGGCTTATTTTGATTTTTATCGCTAGTTGTGATTTTGTGCTCCTTTAAAAATATAGCTACTCCATGTAAAAAATACCAGTATGTTTTTAGTTAGTTACTCTATTCCAAGTTACAGCTTGTTTTGAGCACAGAAACGGCTTACTTATTAGCACAGGTGTCTTCAGGGGAGAGTCTGAGAAGGGAGAGGCGAACAGGGAGGGAGAAGGAGAAAGCTATGGGCAGTTTTCTCTCTGTTCAAAGAGCCATGAAAGGGGCTTAGTTTATGGATTTTTCATCCAGATCAAATGTTACAATTTGCACATTTAATTCTGGGTTTATTAGTTTATGTTTGTCTTCCTCTCTCACTGTGAACTCCTCCTGTCTTTTGGATACCTAGGTACCCAGTGCAGGGCCTGGCACCTGTCCAAGTTCAGCAGTGGTTATTGAATTAAACAATTGAAGGGGCTCAGGTGGAGATGACGTAGGCTGGACTCCTGGGACTCCGATGCAGGAGTGTGGCCTTGGTCACAGAGGTCAGCGCTGATGTGTGCGCGATGCATCTGTTACAGGCTACTGGAACGTCACCGTGTACGGACGCAAGCACTGCTATCGCCTCTACACGAAGCTGCTCAACGAGGCCACCCGGTGGTCCAGCGCCATTCAGAATGTGACGGACACCAAGGCCCCCATCGACACGCCCACCCAGCAGCTGATTCAGGACATCAAGGTAGGGTGGACCCAAGCCCACTCGGTGGTTCAGAGTCGCTCCCAGGTTGTCACCTTTAGGACATCAAGGCATCAGCATTAGTCAAGCTCCATTTTTATTCCGTAATCAGAGCTAACTCTTGGTAAATTTTGTGTTTGCATAGCCCTGCCTTTAGGAACCTAAATTTAGATTTTAGGCGAATTTCATGCTAAAATATTTTATCTTTACGGGGTGTTTGCTGTTGCTGCTCAGGCAGACCTGACTGCTGGCTTCTAGGCAGAGGGATGGTGGTCTGTGGTTTGGAGTTAGGTTCCCCATCACAGTGGCGGGAATTGCGTTGGGAACGACATGCTATGCCAAAGGTGTGACTTCAGCCCTCAGTTGGGGACCTTCTAGGAGTAACACGATAATTCTTCTCTTAACTATGTACAGTGTCTAGACCAGTGATGGCGAACCTATGACACGCGTGTCAGAGGTGACATGCGAACTCATTTTTTTGGTTGATTTTTCTTTGTTAAATGACATTTAAATATAATATAAGTCTTTGTTTTACTATGGTTGCAAATATCAAAAAAATTCTATATGTGACATGGCACCAGAGTTAAGTTAGGGTTTTTCAAAATGCTGACACACCGAGCTCAAAAGGTTCGCCATCACTGGCCTAGACCGCACAGGTGGATTCACAGAGAGCCTAGGTTGGTCTAGAAAACTTGGAGACTGTACCAGGGGCCCCCAAACTCACAAAAGCTCCTGTTCCCAGACCAACAGTGACCGTCCGTGTTCAGTTGCCATTTCCTGTGTGTAAAGATGAGCTGCTCAGTAAGTGTGTGTTGAATGAACACACAATGAAGTGGCCGTTGTGCATGAGGATTACTGCGCTCTTCGTCCTGGGAGGGAGACAGACATGGGGTATTCAGGTTGCATTGCTCACCCAGCTGGTCCCTGGTGCAGACCCAGGTCAAAGAATTATTTTTACTGCTGTTCCTCCATGTTGTCCATGCAGACAATTTCCCAACACGAAGGAAAGAGCTGGAGCTGATTCTAAAATGATAGTGAGACGGGTATTTATTTACTGATTAGCTAGCCCGGCTGGAGTGGCTCAGTTGGTTGAGCTTCATGCGGTGCATCAAAAGGCTGCCGGTTTGATTCTGGGTCAGGGCACATAACTGGGTTGTGGTTTCAATCCCCGGTCAGAGCACGTATAGAAGGCAGCCAATTGATGTTTCTCTCTCACATCAATGTTTCTCTCTTCTCTCTCTCCCCCTTCTTCTCTCTAAGCATGTCCTCAAGTGAGGATTTTGAAAACAAGGAAGTTAGCACATTGGATGGAGGAGGCAAACTTAGCCTTTGCACACGTGGAAAAGGGTCTCATGTCAGTAGTATGTTAATGTCCCACCAAATTCAAGTCAGCCTCTTGGTATTGAAGTTATCTGTTTCCTGGGTGTTGGAAGCTAAATTCCACCAAGTGTGTTATTATCCAAGACTCTGCAAAGCTTTCTGTGGAGCCCAGGATGCGGGATACTAATAACTTTATTTCTAGCCTTAAAATATTTTTTTTGAAGCTGTCTTTTAGATCGGAGTAAAAAAAAATGCACATATCAGCTGAACTTTCTCTTCCAAGCTTTATCTAGTCTTCCAGTCTCTTAATTAATTTGAAATCAGGCATTCAAAGAGTAATAGAATTTTCCAAATGTGAAACCGTGCTTTTCAAAAAACTAGACAAGCTGCCCTAATTAAGTCCATACCACTTTATTTTTAAGTAAGTAAAGTTTTTTCCTACTTTTAATCGGGTGTTACTGACAAAGTTTCATAGTGGAAATGGAATTACCAGTGTAGAGCGACTCATTGGCTCTCCTCCAACTCTTCTGTGTATTTAAAGTCATAAAAGTGACTGGCTGTTTCGCATCCCATATGAACATTTTAGGAGCATAAATACATGATGAATTTCTGTGAGCAGAGCCCTTAAATTTCAGGAGTGAGAGAGAAGGTAGGCACATGGAAAGACAGTCTTGCTACTCCGAGAGAATACAAAAGACAAATTAAAGAATTAGCAACATGCATTTTAAAATGAATTATAGGTCAAGGTACATGGTTTGGCTAAGCAACAGCTAAATAATTAGCAAGAGAACTTTAAATTTATGTTTTAAGTCTGCATCATTTCAGAGGGAAGCTTTTAAATAACATGGGAGCATATATGCATATGAAACAAAGAGAAAGAGCGATGTAAGGCAACGTGTGGTTGTGGCTGACCTGCAGACACAGACTGGTGTCTCTTCGGGCTTCCAGTTACTAATGCTGGGTTTCCACCATCACCATGGGTGTGTTGGACGGTTTAGACTTTGGAAACACATTGGTGTGTAGGAGAACACAGATGCGATAATGTTTTTGGCTTGCTTTGTTTTCCAGGAGAACTGCCTGAACTCGGACGTCGTGGAGCAGATTTACAAGCGGAACCCCATCCTCCGGCACACCCACCACCCGCTGCATTCCCCGCTGCTCCCCCTGCCCTACGGAGACATCAACCTCAACCGTGAGTCCCCGGGGGCCACCCACTCCAGACACTGGTTCTGCTTTCCTGTTAACTTTCGCTGCATCAGCATCCCATGGTTGTAGTGGTGCAAGGACTGTGTACTAGAGCAGAGGTTCTCAACCTGTGTGTCGCAACCCCTTTGGCGGTCGAACGACCCTTTCACAGGGGTCGCCTAAGACCATCCTGCATATCAGATATTTACATTACGATTCCTAACAGTAGCAACATTACAGTTATAAAGTAGCAACAAAAATAATTTTATGGTTGGGTCACAGCATGAGGAACTGTATTTAAAGGGCCAGAAGGTTGAGAATCACTGTACTAGAGGGAAGAACTTTAAAGGAATCAGAAAATGCCAGCACTCCCATCCACGCGCTCAGTCACCTTAATATCACCAAGAACGGATGCTACAGTCTTCGTTCTGATTATGGAACCAATTGGCAACAGACCAACTTTTTAAGTAAGAATATTGTATGATAAAGTAATTGAATTACATAACAAGACAGTTATCCTATCTAATAATAGGCAAACATGGTAATTAACCATACCTCCAACATGCTTCCCATTGGCTAATCAGGGCGATATGCAAATTAACTGCCAACCAAGATGGCAGCCGGCAGCCAGGCAGCTGAAGCGAACAGGAGGCTTGCTTGCTCCAGTGATGGAGGAAGCCAAGGTTCCCCGCCTACCGCCGCCCAGCTCTGAGCTGCACTCTAAGCAACTATGTTGCAATTATAGAAGCTAAACAAACCCCAGAAACCTGCTTTCAGCAGCCGAGGTCTCAGAGCTGGAGCCGAGCCTCAGAGCTAAAGCTGGCTCTCAGCTCCAGTGACAGCCATAGAAGGTAAATGAATCCCAGAATAAAAAAAAAAAAGAAAGAAAAAAAGGAGAGGTTGGGAGCTTCAGTCACCCGCCAGCCTGAAAACGGCTCTCAGCCCCTCACCCAGATTGGCCAGGTACCCCAGTGGGGACCCCCACCCTGAAGGGAGTGTGACCAGCTGCAAACAGCCATCATCCCCTCATCCAGGCTGGCCAGGCATCCAAGTGGGACCCCCACCCTGATCTGGGACACCCTTCAGGGCAAACCAGCCAGCCCCCACCCATGCACCAGGCCTCTATCCTATATAGTAACAGGGTAATATGCAAACTGACCCTAACAGCAGAAGGACTGGGAATGACTGGTCACTATGACACACACTGACCACGAGGGGGCAGACACTCAATGCAGGAGCTGCCCTCTGGTGGTCAGGGTGCTCTCACATGGGAGGAGCTCTGCTCAGCCACAAGCCAGGCTGATGGCTGCCAGTACAGTGGTGGTGGTGGGAGCCTCTCCTGCCTCCTCAGCAGTGCTAAGGATGTCCGACTGCAGTTTAGGCCTGCTCCCCGCTGGCAAGTAGACATCCCCCAAGGGCTGCCGGGCTGCCAGAGGGATGTCTGATTGCCATCTTAGGCCCAATCCCCCAGGGAGCAGGCCTAAGCCAGCAGGTGGTCATCCCCTGAGGGGTCCCAGACTGCAAGAGGGCACAGGCCGGGCTGAGGGACTCCTCCCCCCCGCCCCCATGCACATATTTTTGTACACCGGGCCTCTAATGTAGTTATATAATTCATAACAGTTATGACTTACAGAACATAACTTGCCCCTGTAGTTTTTATTATTATTATTGATTTTAGAGAAAGAGGGAGGGAGGGGGGGAGAGAGAGAGAGAGAGAGAGAGAGAGAGAGAGAGAGAGATTGATCATTTGCCTCCTGCACATGCCCCAACCAGGGATCGACCTGCAACCTGGGTCGAACGAACCCATGTACAGGACGATGCTCCAACCAACTGAGCCACCCAGCCAGGGCACCCTTCTGTGTTTTAACAGCTTTTTCCAGCCAATTCAAAGGTACAGAGACTCTGGTGAGCACTGCATCATGACGTAGCCATCTGTCCCCACTCCTTCCTCTCATCTGCTGCTCACGTCGTCCTTCTTGGACCCCCTGGCGTGACCCCTGTTGGTTTGCTTTCCCCAGTGCTCAAGGACAAAGGCTACACCACCCTGCAGGACGAAGCCATCAAGATCTTCAACTCCCTGCAGCAGCTGGAGTCCATGTCCGACCCCATTCCCATCATCCAGGGCATCCTCCAGACGGGGCACGACCTGCGCCCACTGCGCGACGAGCTGTACTGCCAACTCATCAAGCAGACCAACAAGGTGCCACACCCGGGAAGCGCCGGCAACCTGTGCAGCTGGCAGATCCTGACGTGCCTGAGCTGCGCCTTCCTGCCCAGCCGCGGCATCCTCAAGTACCTCAAGTTCCACCTGAAAAGGTAGGAGCTGAAGATAGGTACCGTAGCATTTCACTGGCATGCGGGATCCGAAAAACAAAATGAACAAGCAAACAAAACAGAGACGGGGCATAGACACAGAACAAACCGACGGTTGCCAGAAAGGGCGGTGGGGGTGGGGGGGTGCTGGGTGACAAAGGTGAAGGGATTGAGAAGTACAGATTGGTAGCTATACAGTAGTCAGGGGCTGTAAAGTACAGCCTAGGAAATACAGTCACTAATATTGTGATCATTATAAATGGTGTCAGGTGGGTACCGGACTTACGAGGGGAGGAGGGATCACTTTGTAAGGTATATAAATGTCTAACTACTAAGCTGTACTCCTGAAACGAATAAAATATTGATGTGCACTATAATTTAAACATTTAAAAATGATTTTTAATGAGGAAAAGTTATGAGATGGCCTGGGCGGAGCTGTTCACAGTGTGATGGACTGTGGTTCGGATCCAGAGGACCCCCACCTAGTGGGGTCAGGGACTCCGGGTCAGACTGGTGGGTCGCTGACGGGAGCTCAGAGGGAGCACAGAGAGCATTCGTCTCTCTAAGCCACAAAGCCTGCGTCAGGGACCAGGCCACTTCAGTGTAGATTCCAGTGTGTCAGAGGACATTGGATACACTTAACTACTACAGCCACATAGAGATAGAAAGCCCCCCAGACTTGGGTACTCATTCCAGATGAAACACTGGTAGAAACAGCCTGGTTCAGATTCTGATTACCTGAGGAAAACCATTTTCACAGGACAGCCCGAGGCAGGACTCTCAAGTGCAACAGCACTGCAGAGGTGGAAGGTGCTTCCAGGCAAACCCTGGCTTTTGGGGTTGTTGTTGTTGTTGTTGTTGTTGTTTGTATTTAAACTGAACTAACACAGGCTGTGCTGGGCCCCTGCCGGGAAGTGGCTGGTGTTTGCTCCATTCACCACCAGGTGCCTGCCCGCCACCCCGAAGCAGCCCAGCTGCCAGCAGCCCAGCTGTCCCCAGTCTGGCAGTTAACAGTTGGTACTTGTCTCCTAGGATACGGGAACAGTTTCCAGGAACCGAGATGGAAAAATACGCCCTCTTCGTTTACGAATCTCTTAAGAAAACCAAGTGCAGAGAGTTTGTGCCTTCCCGCGATGAAATAGAAGCTCTGATCCACAGGCAGGAGATGACGTCCATGGTGTACTGCCACGGCGGGGGCTCCTGCAAGATCACCATTAACTCCCACACCACGGCCGGGGAGGTGAGGACCGCCTGCCTCGCACCCCGTGTGATGCCTGATGCCGACTTGCTCGAGTCAGGAAAGTGGTGCACAGTCAGATCCACTGTCGTGCCAAGTTGTGATTTGCATAGTGCAGCTGCTCAATAAACACGGGAACAAACGTAACTTGCAACCAACCACAGTATAAAGAGATTAAAAATAGGTCCTGAAGATGAGTAGAGACACCAAATCAGAGTGCCAGTGGATCTGAGACAATCCCAGTCCTGCTGACCTGACAAGCAGTGGAGTGTCTCGTAGGGATTGCAGGCCTGACTCGGGCTGTCCACTGTGGCGAGGGTATCACACTTCTGCAATGAGGTGTTGATATTTCCACACGAATATCTAGAATGTTCACTCAGGTGAACACCTTTTCTTTTCATTGTTTTCTGTTTTCTTTTTTCTCCTTTAACATTTAAGTAAAGCCCAAAATCATCTTGTATACAAGATACATCGGTGGAAGTCACTGTTGTTTGTGTCTTGCAGGTTTTTTTGGTTTTTGTTTTTTTTTTAATTTTTATAAGAATTTATTTGAGTCAAACTGACAACATGCTGGGGGCCAAGACCACGTGCACTCTCTCTCTCAGAGTTTTTGAAGCACAGGGCTTCCGTTTTCATGCGCTTTTCCTCTTCATGTGGGTTTGTAAGTCATTGGCCCAACATCTGCCCCTACCTGTGTTCTTTTGCCAAGAAAGAGCTAATAAAACTGGTTTCAAGAGAAACAGCACCTTTGGAATTCTGGGTGGGCACACAGGACAGTTTTGGGGGGCTCTTTGGACCCTAGCTTTTGCTGGCAGCTCCCTCCGAGTTCCCTGGAAAGTGCATTCTAGAAGCACAGTTCTGGGCGCTGACGGCCTTGGGCATGTCTTGCAGGTGGTGGAGAAGCTGATCAGAGGCCTGGCCATGGAGGACAGCAGGAACATGTTTGCCCTGTTTGAGTCCAATGGACACGTCGACAAGGCCATCGAGAGCCGGACCATCGTAGCCGATGTGCTAGCGAAGTTTGAAAAGTAAGTTCCTTCTCCCTGAAGTGCCAGCCGAGTAACTAAAAGCAACTAAGAACAAGAGTTGGGGACTTGGACTTCCATTTCCAGCCTCAGTGTGCACTGGAGTTTGTTTGATTTTATCTGTGTTGAAGCTTACTTGGCTTTTCATCTCTGCAGGCTGATTTTTTGATTCCTAGATAAAGCCACTGTCTGAGAGATGATTCAGTTTGTCATTGTTCCTTTGCCCCATCCCTCCCGTCCCCTCTTTTACTCATTGCCTAGGGATTCCTGACTCGTAGGTTTTCACTTGTGCATTAGCTGTGAAACAGGGCTAGCAGATGCAAGCCAACTAGAACTCTCTATCTCCCTTGGAACTCTAATTTTGACCTGTGCCTCTTCTATCTCTTTAATGGCAGAAAAGAATATTCCTGTTCCATATGAACACGGCCTGTTAATAATTATGTCAGTTTTTATAAATGTTGTAGTTTATTTGAGGGTTGGGAATGAAGAAATTGCCTTGGTTTCTTTCCTTTCTGTGGATTCAGCATAATGCTTAGCTAGCACTAACCAGACCGGGGCACTCGGAAAATACTTGTTAGCACAGTTTAGTTGAAGGCTGACTGTTTGCTCTGTTAAAGCAAGACCCGGATGAAAGCATGGCTTCCAGCTCTGGTTCAGTAGAAGTCACGAGGGTCTCTGATAAGCCTCGCTCTTATTGTTTTCTCGCTCTCTCCATCCTCATCTGCCCACTGAGCATGGACAGGACCTTGCATCCTTACAGAGAATAAGCCGTCCGTGTACAGTCAGCCCCGAGTGGGTCACCCAAGCCTGCCTCTCGTTTTGCTTCCTGAGTCTCTCTTGACTTCTGTCTGTAGGCTGGCTGCCACCTCCGAGGTGGGCGACCTGCCCTGGAAATTCTACTTCAAGCTTTACTGTTTCCTGGACACGGACAATGTGCCGAAAGACAGTGTGGAATTCGCGTTTATGTTTGAACAGGTAAAGGAACTTTTTTTAAAATGTATTTTTTATTGATTTCGGAGAGGAAGGGAGAGGGAGAGAGAGAAAAAAACAAAAACATCAATGATGAGAGAGAATCATCAATGGGCTGCCTCCTGCAGGCCCCCTACTGGGGATCCAACCCACAAACCAGGCATGTGCCCTGACTGGTAATTGAACTGGGACCTTCTGGTTCATTGGCCGATGCTCAACTACTGGCGAGGCTATAAGGAACTTTTAGACACAGATTCCTTTATCAGAGGGCAGGGGTGAAACCCATTACTACTACCTTTGTAAATTAACTGCTAATCCTTAGAAATTCAACATGGTAGTCAAGTTCCCCGCATGGACAGAGTTGGCTGCTTGTAGATGAAATTTATGCCCATTTTAGTTGAACTCCTGGGCCAGGAACTGTTCTAGTTGGGCTGAGAGACGATCAGGAATAAAATACAGGTGTTAGATGGTATCCGTGCTAGGGAAGCGGGGTCAGGGTACCATTGTCATTGAGAGAAATCTGATGGAGGAGGGCGTAAGCTAGGCAGGCATCCCGTGTCTGCCCCTAACGCTGTGACCGCTCCTTTCAGGCCCACGAAGCTGTCATCCACGGCCACTACCCGGCCCCCGAAGAAAACCTCCAGGTGCTAGCGGCCCTGCGGCTGCAGTACCTGCAAGGGGACTACTCGCTGCACAGCGCCGTGCCGCCCCTCGAGGAGGTGTACTCCCTGCAGAGGCTCAAGGCCCGCATCAGCCAGGCCACCAAAAGCTGCGCCCCGTGTGAGCGGCAGCGGCGGACCAGCTTCCTGGAGGGGACGCTCAGGCGGAGCTTCCGCACGGGCACGGGCGCCGTGGTCCGGCAGAAGGCGGAGGAGGAGCAGATGCTGGACATGTGGATCAAGGAAGAGGTCTCCGCTGCTCGCGCCAGCATCATCGACAAGTGGAAGAAGTTTCAGGGGATGAGCCAGGAGCAGGCCATGGCCAAGTACATGGCCGTGATCAAGGAGTGGCCTGGCTACGGGTCCACGCTCTTTGACGTGGAGGTGAGAGCCGGCTGTTGGCGGGTGCGCGGGCAGTGGCTGCTCCAGGGACCAGGCTGTGTCCGGGGACATAGATCAGTGCGCCCATGGCCAAGTGCGCACGGAGGGAGGATGGATCGGAACACTGCTCCCTTATACCCTCTTTTCTTAGAGCCCCCAAATTTTACCCTTAACACACCCACCCACTAAAGGTTTTTTTTTTCTGCTTTTTTAATAATAGGAGTGAGTGAAAAATTAAGATGTCACCTATTCCGAAATAACTTCTTTCTTATGGAAGCTACAGATCCAATAAAAAGTGCTGGTAGAAATGCATTGTAAAATTTTTTAAAAAAATTAGAACTGTGTATTCAAAACTTTGGATATACTTGGATTATTTTACCTTTTTTATTTTTTCCCCATGACTATTTTTAGGGAAGAATTTCTGTTTCATAATTGGAATCTAGCCATTGAATTTTTCTCTTTTGTTAAAGTAGACCATTTATTAAAAAAAACAAAAGCACCTTACTGATGGTTTAGATCCAGGCTTGGCCAACTGCAACCTGAGGGCCAAACCATCAAACCATGCTTGTCTCTTTTTTTTTTTTTTAAATAAAGTTTTATGGGAACACAGCCATGCTCATTCCTTTATATATCTTTGGCCACTTTCACATTAAAGTGGCAGAACTGAGTGGCTGTGGGAGAGACCGTGTGGCCAATAAGCCTGAAACATTTACTGTCTGTTCCTTAACATAAGCTTACCAGTCCTGGGTCCAGATGGGCTTCCATTTTTCTTACCACAATTCAGGATGTTATCTGATAACCTTTAAGTGAGAGTGTAAACATCTAAAGATTGATTTATTTCAAGATCCCTTCATGGCTTTTCATGGGATGCTGTCTTTGGTTTGGTTGGTTGGTTGGTTGGTTGGTTGATTGGGTTATGTTGGTTTTTGAGTGTAAATCAGGTCCTTTGTCCAGGTGGCTCCTCTTGGTGTCGCTCGTGTGTCACTTGGTGTCACTGTACTGGTTCGGATCAGCCCCTGTTGTTTTCCCTATACTGGGGCTCCATTTTCCTCCCCTGATCCCTGCGGGAAAGTCTCTCATTACCCAGTGAGATCGGCCACTGCAGCACAGCAGGTCACTGCTGCTCCCTGTCAAGACATGTGTTGTTCACAAGGAGCCAAAACTGTTCAGCACAGAGTGATTTAAAGAATGTCCCTCTGTGGTCCTAGACTTTGTCAGAGAGATGCCATTTCTCGTGTTTCCGTTCCCTGGCCTAAATGGGCATTGCCTGTGTTCAGCATTCTGTGCAGAGGCTGCCTGAAAGCCTGTCTTGTTTTCTGGGTGCTGTGCTTCTGCTTGCTTCCTGATCTAACCCTAACACTGACTCTTGTCCCCAGTGCAAGGAAGGCGGCTTCCCCCAGGACCTGTGGTTGGGCGTCAGCGCAGACGCTGTCTCCGTCTACAAGCGTGGGGAGGGGAGACCCTTAGAAGTCTTCCAGTATGAACACATCCTCTCTTTTGGAGCCCCCCTGGCCAACACATACAAGATCGTGGTGGATGAGCGGGAGCTGCTCTTTGAAACCAGCGAGGTAAGAGGCAAACGATGGCCCTCAAAAAATAGAAAAATAATGCGCCATTTCCTGATGCCTTTGACCAAGTAGTTTTATTTGAGTATTTCTCACTAAGGCATGGGAAAGCACAGTGTGATGGTCCCTACCCAGCTTCAGGTTCCTTCCAGGCTGAAATCTGATAATCCTAAATTTCTTCTGTATACCTCTGCAACAGAGAAACCTGGTTCCCTTGTATCAGGGAGGAAAGGAAGAGAGAGAGAAATGATATGGATGTTCAAGAAGAAAAACATCGTTTGGCGATAGTCTTGTGAAGACTAGTGGACGCTGATGGCAGCGAGTAATAGCAGTAACACTCGGCTCTGTGGTGTCCACGGAGCAGGAGCAAGGCAGGGATGTGGCCATCTTGGGCAGAGCTAATTCTGGCTCACAGAGTCATCAAAAATGCCTGAAATATGTGTGCTGTCCGCTCCAAAGCTTACACTGTAATAATAATAATGATGATACAAGAAGCCTGTTGAAGTCTCCACAAAGGGAGCTGCCTACGAGTGGAGGCAGGGAATGGAGATGAATCCCCGCTGCCAGTCTGGCTGTTAAGTGCCGGGGGGGGGGGGGGGGGGTGGTGCTTGAAGGAGCAGTCAGGCCAAGGATGTGGTGCAGGAGCTAGATGAGGCCGACTGAGACGGAGAGAGGTGGGGGGGTGTTGCCTAGAGTATCTTGGGTGCCAGGCTGCAGGGTTTGGTCAGCTCCAGTGGACAGCAGGGAACTGCGCTGAGGTCTGTGTGCATGAAGTCAGGACAGCGATGACAAGCAGTGATGTGGGATGGGATTGGTTGGCAGGAAAGAGAGAACCGGGAAGTGGAAGCCAGTGAGGATGTCTTAGCAGGGATCCAGGCCAGCTGTGAGAAGCGATGGGCCAAAGGGGGTGGGAGGAGCTAATTCGAGCTCGCACAGGCATGGAGCAGAGCTGGCCGCCTGCCGCTCTCTGCCCGTCCCTTAGAGTCTCAGTTCTGTTTTCTCAGTTGCACCATGAGGCGTTGACTCGAACTATACGGTGCAGTCTTTCACAGCCATGATTGTGGGCTCTGTCGTTTACCCTTACTTTAAGTGGGTAGAGAAAGCCCAGCCCTGGTGATACCAACTTTAGCATCATCAGGTTTATTTGTTTGTTTTGAATGTGCAAAGTCCGACGATTTCACATTAAGCAAAATTGTCGTTTTTGCCTGCAAGAACCACCAGGTGGTGCACACTGTTTGGAAAAGCCACAGTTCCCCTGCTCCCTGACTAGAAATAGGTAAAAGCAGGTAAACTTGTGGCTTCATACAAAACTTGAGCTGTGGATTTGCACAGCAGGCTGGCGGTGGCTTTTCCGGGGAGGACGTGTGGTTGTTGGGCTGGGCCCGCTGGCCCGGCAGACACTGGTGACCCTGTGCCGATCTGCTTCCCCGGCAGGTGGTGGACGTGGCCAAGCTCATGAAAGCCTACATCAGCATGATCGTGAAGAAGCGCTATAGCACCTCGCGGTCCATCAGCAGCCAGGGCAGCTCCAGGTGAACCCAGGCGGGAGTCTGTGTGTCTTCAGTCTCTGAACATGCCCCCCTCTGGTCTGGGCCGGTCCCTGCGTGCCAAGCCCAGGGCAGAGCTGCCAGGCCCTCTGGAAGCCTCCGGAAGGGAGGTGTCTCCGAGGGACCTTTCGCCCCATCCACTTCAGTGATCATGTATGAAGCTGTCAACCTTAACCCGATTTCCAAAGCTTTACTACTCTTAGATGACATATGCCTTAACAAAGAGAGAGGAAGCATACCCACGCCGCCGCCAAAGCAGCCAGAAGTGCCTTAACTTGTGGAGCAACACTCACGGACCTTCACTGTGCTACTGAGGGGAATGCTCCCCGCCTTGTTGGGGAGACTGGCAAAGCCTTGAAGTGGGGGGGCATTTATCCATCAACTATGCACTAACCTCCCCGCCTGATTTCCCGACTTTGAGGGAAGGTGAGGGAGTGGGGAGGGGGACAGGGAGCACAAGGGGACAGTGTATTTTAGTTGGAGTGCTGCTGGCAGCCTTCCCGGAAGACGCGTATTAACTTTTTTTTCTTTGTTTCATCTTTTAAGTATATGTGCTTGCTTGTGCATGCATGTGTTCATAAACCCATCACTTTAATCATTGTCTCAAGAGTATTAAAAGCAAAGGGAAAAAGGAAGTGCAATGGTGTAAACAGTCTGTCTGTATATTTTAATAGTTCAGAGTTATAGTCTCCAATTGTTACTTTATAAGGTGGTGATATTAACAGACCGAATCCCGGATTTCCCCCCGTTTTTGCTATATTTCGAAAGCCACATTTGGACTCAGTTTTGTTATTCATGTAGCAAAGTCTGCATTCTGTGTCTGCTGTGTTATAAACAGATATGCAGCCTGCAGATAACTGTATTTATAAACCACTCTTAAACAGCTGGCTCCAGGGCTGTTTTTAGAACTATATGAAGTCTTTTTGGAGTCTTGAGTTTCTAAAAGATTTAAGTTAAAAAATGTTTCTTTGAAAGTTTGCTCATATGGCTCCGGGTAGATCACATATAACCACGTGGAATACGGGGAGAAGTGCTGTACTCCCCAGAGGTGAACTACGTGTGCAAGTCTTTAAAGCAGTGGTTCTCAACCTCCTAATGCCACAACCCTTTAATACAGTTCCTCATGTTGTGGTGACCCCCAATTTCATTGTTACAAATTGAACATAATTAAAACATAGTGATTAATCACAAAAACAATATGTAATTAATTATACATGTGTTTTCCAATGGTCTTAGGCGACCCCTGTGAAAGGGTCGTTCAACCTCCAAAGGGGTCGTGACCCACAGGTTGAGAACCACTTCTTTAAAGGCCCGTGACATTAAATGCTGAGGCTTTACTATACTACACAAATTTTATCTTGAGTTTATAATGGTGGTCTGAAAAGGCGCCTGTAAATAAATCAGCATTTGTGACCAGAAGAAAAATAATCTGGTCTTGGACTTTTATTTTCATATGGAAAAGTTGTAAAGCCTTAGGCCAACTAAGTCTACCCACAAAGAAAAAAATAATGCCTTATCCCTCACGGACAGCCATGTGAAAGTGAAATCATCGTTTGTTGGCTGCAAGAAAGTCTGACAATAAAAGATATTAGCTAATGTAGTGTGCTTTCTTCATCCGAGCGGCTCTCATTTCATATGGGATCTTGTTTTTTTGTTGGTTTGGGGTTTAAGGCTTTGGGCTCAGGGTGCCTCAGCTGTGTGTTTCATGCCCTTGGTCACTGGTCTGAAAACAGACATGTAGATGTCTCGACTGCTCTTGTAGGCACAGAGCATGACTCCAAGAAAGCTGAGAAGGTAAAAGCAGGGTTCGAGGAAATCACAGGTGAAGGGCGGTGGACCATGAGCTGGTCTGGCAATATGGCAAAGGAGAAGGTGGGCCCCGAAGGAGGACAAGCACAGGTGTGGAGGTGGAGATGGCATGCAGCAGGAGTCAGGGCCATGCTGCCCTGGCCCCAAGTAGCATCTTCATTGATCTCACATGATTCCATCTTTGTGCCCCTCAGCCCCCCATAAATGCTATTCTCCATAGACCAGACGCCCAAAGGGATCTTTACTATAAAACACAAATCCAAATATATGCCTCTCCTACTCAAACCTATTACTTTCTCCCCAAAATGGTAATCTGTACTACAGTACCCTGTGTTTTCTGCCCCCTCTGCCTCGACCCTGGTTTCCTGCCACTCCACCTCCCTCCTACTTCAGCCAAACTGACTGACTCAACAGCACACACTCTCATTTCATCCTTATTTTATCAGCCCCCCCGAAACTGGGGTATTAGCTGCCCAGCAGTGAGGATCGTAACTGATGTCTCCTGGTGAAACCCGGTGTCTGTATTCAAGAAGACAAGAGTGGTAACTCCCCGGAAGCTGGAGCTCCGGCCGCGATGCGCTGGTGAGGGTTCATCAGGGGTTCTCCAGGGGGAAATCGTCCTGCTTCATAGTGTTTGTTGGTTTCCGTGGTGTCAGTGTTCCCGCCGTGGCTCATTTCAAGCTCCAAGGAGACGTCAGTGTGTGCAGAGTTGGAACAAGATGCGTGGTCGGACTCATTGCTGGAGGCAGCTTGGCCCTGCACACCACGGAAAGGTGGCGCCAATAAGTAATTTTTCAATTAAAAAAAAAAAAGTCATCTTCAGAAGAAAATGTCTTAAGTAAAAAACCTCAGAAGTAAAAAAGACACTCAAAGCTTTAAGTACTTTGAGTGGGGAGGAAAGTTACATGAGAAAATTGAAGAGGTTTCAAAGTATATACTTGGTTCCTATCTTTAGTTTTCCCAGGGACTTTGTTTTCTCTTTCAAGTAATAACAGGATTATAGTTGATTTGCAGTTTGAGACATAAACAGGGTCTGTTACCCCTGAGGCACCCAGATGTTTGCTTGGTGGGAACCAGTTGCCTGATTAGAGTTCTCATGATTCCTCATGACCCGCCAGAAAAGAAAACGAGTCATTCCTGTAACTTTGATCTCTTGGGGGAATTGTTCTCCATACATTTACTTTATAACTTGACATTGAAATTTCATAGGCCTCGTTATTAGAGATAACTCCAAGGATCAACACCAACCATAGCCATTTAACTTTTACTACATATTTACTAGATTCTTGCTGTTCAGATTTTTAAAATATATATTTCTGTGGGGTTTGCAAATGAACCATAAGAACCGTCTTAAGTTGCTTAGAGCCTCACTGGGGGTAAAAGATATAAATATATGAAACTAGAAGTTGATTGTATCATAGTAAGAGGGCAGGGAGGAGAGTTTTCAAAGGAGAATACTGCACTAAAAAGGAAAAAACAAAACAAAACACAAATGCAGATTTGCAGTGAGAGCACATGCCAGTGGCACAAATGAATGAAGAAAATCCACGAGGCAAAAATGAACAGAGTGTGGATTCCTAAGGATTACTTCTGACATTGTCATGTGTTTTCCTTTGTCTCCATTGTGGCCAACGGTATAATGACCATTTCCTCAGCACACATTATGTTTCAGGCTGTCCCAGGGGTGGTATGACCATCATTATTTCATTGTATCCTCACAGTAAGCATGATGTAGGTGCTAACCTATTGTTCATAGCTTTTTGAGATTTAGAAAATTTAACTTACTGTAACAGCTTTGCTGTGTAACAAATCACTCCAAAATTCAGTGGCTAAAGCAACAAACATGTTAATTCTCTAGGTTGTCCGTTTGAGCTGGGCTCAGCCGGGCATTCAGCTCCAGTTCAGCTGTGGCCAGGTCAACTGTGTTGACCTTGATGTGGCTTTCTCATGTGTCTAGGGCCTCAGATCAGATAATTGAGCTCTGTTCCATGTGGTCTCTCATCCTCCAGTTAGCTAGCCTTTTTAAATTAAAAAAATAAGTAAATAAATGAAAATAAAAACCAATGTGTTTCTACAAAGCAGCAACAACCAATTATAATTTTTAAGTGATACCTTTGAGAATGTTATAAAAAACATTTGATATCTAAGAGAAGATCTGAAGAAATAAGGTATGTCTGATGCCAAAGCCCATGACATCTCCTGTATGCTTCAGTTGGAACTAAGATGTAAACTGATCTGCAAAAGCAATTGAAATGAAATGAAACAGAAAGGACTAGGATACAATGTCAGCTAATCATAAAAACAAAAATATGCCTGGCTGGCGTGGCTCAATGGTTGAGCATTAACCTATGAACCAGGAGGTCACAGCTTGATTCCCGATCGGTGCACATGCCTGGGTTGCAGGCTCCATCCCCAGTGTGGGGTGTGCAGGAGGCAGCCAATCAATGATTCTTTCTCTTCATTGATGTTTCTATCTCTCCCTCTCCCTTCCTCTCTGAAATCAATAAAAATATTTTAAAAACCCACACAAACAAAAATATGTTGCAACTTAAAGGAAATGGGTTATAAACTTATCCAGCTGATGACATATAGCTTCTAAGTTCATGGATCTTCCTCTTCAATGATGCTGAGTGTAAAATGTAGTAAAAATAAATAAATAAATAAATAAAAAATTCTAAAATAAAACAAAATGCAGCCCTTTGTGACAAAAAGAAAGTCCCATTTATGGGTGAGTAAAGAGCTTCTGCCGGAAATGTTTATTTCGTATTTTAAACCATCTGGCCTTCTGCTTGGTAGAGTCATGAATTTTTTAAAAGCAAATTTCTGCTGCTATTCAACCAGAGCTCGCTACTTGGAATCACCCATGTGAGAAGCACATCGGTTGCGAATTGATACCTGCCATTAAAGGCACTTCTCTTTCCCCCGATTCTGTGCAGTGACTGTCATTCAGGCCTCAGCTTTAATGGCACCTCTCCAGAAAGGCCCTCCACACCCTCAAATATAAAACAGCTAGTCGTTATTGCATCCCCACGTTTGCCACTGAGTGATGTTTCTTGTTTGTTCAATTGTCTATTGTTAAGCCTTCCCCAGTGGAAACATAAGCTTGGTGAGAGCAGAAATCTTTTCGTATGGATTCCTGTCACTCTTAACTAGAACTGTGTGTGAGCATAGTAGGTACCAGTAATTTCTTCTTAAATAAGTGGAGGAGTAAATAAATGATTTTCAATTTGGGGGCCACCCCAGCTGAGATTTCCCTAGAGAATAGAGGTTAACTGCTGATGCTTTGGGAAGTGCGATTCCTGGGCAGCAAGGGTAGGGAAGCTAGTGATGTATTTCTATGCCAGCCACTGCTTTGAGTCCCAGTCCAGTTTCTCAGCAGGAGCATGTGTGTGGCCACATGGGATATCTCTACACAGGCTGTGGTGAAGTCCCGCCTCTGAGCAGTCCTCCAGAGAGGAAAGAAACAAAATTTCTCTTCCTGGCTTGGTCCTGTCTCCGGTTTCCCATTGGTTGAATTTCACTATGTGAGTGAGATTTCACATTTTCTTGTCATCTAGTGCCTTTAAAGGCCACGTAGCTACGAAGCCATGTCCCACACTGTGGCCAGCTGAATAATGGCCCCTGCAGATATGAATGTTACCTTGTTTGGCAATAGAGACTTTGCAGATGTGATCAAATTGAGGATTTTGAGATTAGCCTGGATTATCCATGTGGGACCAATAGAATCACATTATAAGAGAGACAGAAGATCTCTCGTAGTAGGAGATGTTACAAAATAAAGGTTGCAAAGGGGCTACAAGCCAAGGACTGCTGGCGCCTCACAGTTGGGAGAGGCATGGAATGTATTCTCCCTGTAAACCCTCAGAAGGAACCAGCCCTGCTGACACCTTCCTTTTAGCCCTGTGAGACTCTTTGCAGGCTTCTGATCTCCAGAACTGGAAGAAAATACACTTAGGTTGTTTTCACCGACTGAGTTTGTGGTAACTTGGTGGAGCAACAGTAGGAAATTAATGCCCACATCCTGTAGGGGAGCATTTCCTTTAAGTCTGTGGCAGGTGGATCCAGAGACACCACATACACAGCCTGACTTCTCAAGGGTGCAACGCCACAGGCCTACAGGGAGTTGGCCAGCCTTCTTGGCCCTGAGAGCCTGGGAACCCATGAGGCCAGAACATCTGAGCAGGTCTGCAAGGTGTGCATAGTACAGAGGCCCACACTCAAAATGATTGCTCAGCCCTGACCGAGTGGCTCAGTTGGTTGGAACATCATCCCCTACACCAAAAGTTTGCAGGTTTCAATTCTAGGTCAGGGCACATACCTAGGTTGTGAGTTCAATGCCTGGCTGGTTGAAGATTAGAAAAATTTCATGCATCAGGCTTCTAGTATGCATATAAATTCTTTGGTTAATCTCTTCCTGGCCCCTCCCTCTGAAATACGTCAGTCTGTTGCATGTTTCAATGTCTCTGGATCCGTTTTGTTCATCAGTTTGTTTTGTTCATTAAATTCCACATATGAGTTAGATCATGTGATACTTATCTTTCTCTAACTGGCCTATTTCACTTAACATAATACTCTCCAGGTCCCTCCATGCTGTCTCAAAGGGTAAGAGATCCTCCTTTTTATCGTTTCATAGTATTCCATTGTGTAAGTGTACCATCATTTTTTAATCTATTCATCTACCAAGGGGCACTTGGGCTGCCGTTTGACCCAGTGATCCCACGGCTAGGAATATATCCTAAGAAGCCCGAAACACAAATCGGAAAGAATATATGCACCCTATGTTTATA